GCAGCAGCAGGAGCAGCAGCGGATGCTGTTGGTGCTGCAACGCCCACACTGGAGCAGCTGCTGTGCATGCCAAAGGAAGAAGCTGAGAGTCTCCTGCAGAAGCTGCTGCTGCAGCTGCTGCTGCAGCTCAAAGCAGCAGACAAGAAGCAGCAGCAGCTGCTGCAGCAGCATCTCGATGCAGCGCATGCAGCTCTTGTTGAATTGGAGGCGAGGATCTATGTTCTGCAGGAGGAGCAGCACAAGCTCTGCCAGGTAGTTTATTCTTTGCTGCTGCTGCTGCTGCTGCTGCAGCTGTGGCTGCTGCTGCTGCTGTTGCTGCTGCTGCTGCTGTTGCTGCTGCTGTTGCTGCTGTTGACCGGCGTACGTTGTGCTGCTGCTGCTGGCGGTGCTTGCTGGATTTGCGAGTGCTGCTGCTGCTGCTGCGTTGCTGAAACGCCTGCTGCTGCTGTAGCTGCTGCTGCTGCTGCTGTGGTGCTGCTGAGAAAGCGTTGCGCTGGGTTTGTTGCTGCTGCAGTCTGAGGATTTGCTGCCGGAGCACATACTGCAGCAGCTGCGACGAGCAGCAGCAGCAGCAGCAGCAGCAACAGCAGCAAACAACAGCTCTGCTGCAAGTGTATGCACAACAGCAGCTTCCTCCAGCCTTCGAGAAACAGCTAAAAGGACCAGAGAGAGGATGAAGTAAGTCTGCTGCTGCTGCTGCTGCTGCTGCTGCTGCTGCTGCTTCTGCTTCTGCTATCTCTGCTGCTGCTGCTGCTGCTGTTTCTGCTGCTGCTGCTGTTTCTGCTGCTCCGTGGTGGTGCAGCAGCTGGCAGGAAGTGCTACCACCTGTCCTGATACAGCTGTGAATGTCTCTTTGCTGCTGCTGCTGCTGCTGCTGTTGCTGCTGCTGTTGCTGCTGCTGCTGCTCTCAGGGAAGTTTCGCGTCAGCTTGAGGCGGCGCAGCAGCGTTGGTGTGAGTTGCTTGCTGCGGAGTCAGTTGAGCAGCAGCAGCAGCAGCAGCAGCAGCAGCAGATAGCTGCAGAGCTGCAGCAAGTGGTGCAGCAGCAAACCTTCTCTCTGCGTAAATCCTTCGATGAGCAGCAGCAGGGGCTGGCCTTCTACTCTCGCCTACAAGGCTTCCTGCAGCAGCTGCAGCAGCACCAGCAGCAGCTTCTTACTGATATGCATGCATGCATCCGCTCGATCCACCAGCAGCAGCAACAGCAGCAGCAGCAACAGCAGCAGCAGCAGCTGGAACTTCAGCAGCAGCAGCAGCAGCAGCAGCAGCAGCAACAGCAGCAGCTGCTGCAGAAACTGGCTCTCCAGCAGCAGCAAAGGAACTCTATCAGCCCCACCCAAATCCCCCCTTGGCCTAATGTGGATTCTCTAAGCACAAGAAGCGGCCGCAGCAGCGTCGGCAGCAGCAGCAGCAGCAGCAGCAACAGCAGCAGCAACAGCAGCAGCAGCAACCCGCCACCTGCTGCTAACTGGCGACGGTGTAGCAGCGGGCCCCTCGTCCTCCCTGGAAGCCATCCGAGGCGGCTGAGCAGCAGCAGACACAAGCAGCAGCCTGCTGCTGCTGCTCCTGCTGCTGCTGCTGCTGCTGCTGTTCCCTCAGGGCGTCAGCCATCGTTTCCAAGCCCCGAGAGCAGCAACAGCGGCAGCAGCAGCAAACCCCGTGCAGCAGCAGCAGCAGAAAGCAGCAACAAATTCAGCAGCAGCACAGGCGCCTCCTTCGCGCTCGTGCATTCACCTATAAGGCCCCGTAGCAGCAGACACAGCACGCCATCCACAGGCAGCAGCCCAGCAGCAGTAGCAGCAGCAACAGCAGCAGCAGCTGCAGCAGCAGCAGCAGCACCAGAAGGGCCGTGTGACAGCCCCCCTTTGATCGCCCCTGAGATAGGGACGGTCTTCGGGGGGAGCCCCGAAACCCTCGGGGGTTCATGGACACCAACTGCAGCAGCAGCAGCAGCAGCAGCAGCAGCAGCAGCAGCAACAGCAACAGCAGCAGCAGAACCAGCAGCATGCAGCAGCCAACCGTGAATCTGAGCAGCACATGTAGCTGCTGCTGCAGTTGGTGCTGCAGCTGTATATCTCGTCAGCAGCCTACAACTGTTTCACAGTTCAGCAGCAGCAACTGCAGAAACGCAACCAGGTTCTGTTTGCATCTGCTGCTGCTGCTGGTGCAGCAGATGCTGCAGCAGCAGATGCTGCTGCAGCAGGTGCTGCTGCAGCTGCAGCGGTACTATTGGCATGTTTGTTTTATAAAAACAACTTTCCTTTTATATTTGTATAATTAAATCTATTTTATATTGTAGTTAAGACAGAGCCGGTGAGGCACCTCAGCCCGAGCAGCAGCAGCAATCGCTGCAGCAGCAGCAGCAGCAATCACTGCAGCAGCAGCAGCAGCAATCACTGCAGCAGCAGCTGCAGCAGCGCCTGGCCAGAACTGCAGAAATACCTGCTGGAGCAGCACTACCCCTCCCTTACCGCGGCTGCTGCCGCTGCTGCTGCTGCTGTTGCTGCTGCTGCTGCTGCTGCTGCTGCTCCCAACGAGCTCAGGGTTCCTTAGCTAGAACCCCGCCTGCCTTCCCTGCAAATTTACGCAGCGCCATCGACGCCTCTAAATCTCAGGGGCCCCCACGTAGTTTGGGGGCCCCCAGGGTAAACGTTCAGTATGTGGGGGGCCCCGGGGCCCCCCTAAACCGCAGCTGCCGGGGGGCCCCCTGCAACACGTAGCTGCCGTGGGGGCCCCCCAGATCTCAGCTGCCCTGGGGCACCAGCGGGGGCCCCCTAAACCGCAGCTGAGGGGGCCCCCTAAACCGCAGCTGAGGGGGCCCCCTGCAGTACCCCCTACACTGTTGCTGCACGGGCGGTCTAGGTAGCCCTGACTTCGACTCAGGAAACCCCAGGAAACCCCAGGGGCCCCCGAAACCCAAGTTGCCTGGGGGCCCCCTGCGGCAGGTTAGCTGAGGGGGGGGGGGGGGGGGGGGNGGGGGGGGATGGGGGGCCCCGGGGGGGGGCCCACTGACCCGCCGAGTACTGAGGGCCCCCAACCCCCCCCGCTGCAGTACCCTTCAGGCCTCGGTTGCTGCAGAGGCCGTCGAGGGGCCCTGGCTTCATATAGAGGGGCCTCGGGGCCCCCCGTGCAGTACCCCTTATATTCATATTTGGGGGCCCCGCGGAGCTTAACTTTGCTCTCTTTGTGTGGGTTCCCTATATATATAGGCCCCTTAATAAAGCTCTATTATTTCAGGTGTATGCACAGCTCCCAGGAAGCAAGAACCCTTGTATGTGTTGTTGTGTACCGCCAGTGTCTACAAAGGGGTACTGCACAGGGGGCCCCCAGGTCTAGCAACGGGTACTACTACTGCACAGGGGGCCCCCCCCAGGGGGGCCCCCCAAAAGTATGAACACTTAAGCCTCTGTTGCTGCGAGGGCCGTCCAGGGGGCCCTCGCCTCGTACTTGGCTCGCACCTGCTCCCCATCAAGCGGCACGGCTGCGCCTGAGAGGCCCTCAAAGGAAACAAACTTTTGTACGTCGAAGGTGAAAGCTGCAGGAGCAGCAACAGAGCCTTCAGCATCGCTGAGACTGCTGCTGCTGCTGCTGCTGCTGCTGCTGGTGTTTCCCTGCTGCTGCTGTTGCTGCTGTCGATCTTCACTCTTCGTGGAGGGGGAAGTGCTCGCCGTAGTGTCTTGCTGAGGTTCTGTTGGGCTCTTGCGTTGCTGCTGCTGCTGCTTCTTCGTCTGCTGCTGCTGCTGCGGTTTGCTGCTGATGAGCTGCACTGCTGTAGCCAAGTCAGGATCCCCATCAAATGAGGGTACGGGGGCCCCCCGGGCCCTGCGGAGAGAACCACCCGCTTCTAGGTTTCTCAGCACGCGAGTTGATACCCATGGTTTGTTCTCTTCTTCCTTTGGCGGTGTAGCTTCTTGCTGCTGCTGCTGCGTTGATTCAGGTGAAGTATCTTGCTGCGGCTCGATACCCTGTTCCAGCTGCTGCTGCAGCAGCAACTCCCTGGCCTCCTGCTCCCGCAGCTCTTGAAGGCCTCTCCGCTGTTCCTCATCCAAACGTTTCATGGTGCTCCAGCTCTTATCTTTCTTGCTTTCTATTTCGTACGCCCCCACGGCGCTGACTCGCAACGAGCGCCCCAGCGGCCCCTCTGCTGTTCCTCCTGTTGTTGCTGCTGCTGCTGCTCCATTTGCTGCTGGGCTCGCAGGACCTGCTGCCCACGAAACAGCTGCATCCTGCTGCGGCTCCAAACTCCATTCTGCACTGTCTTCGGTTACTGGCTCCTCGACCTTCTCTGTCACCTGAGTCAGCTGCAGCACGAGCAGCAAGAAAAGCAGCAAACGCAGAAGAAAATAAGCAAAAGCAGCAGCGTGAATGCAAACTCCCCCTTCACCCGCAACATAAGGAATCAGCTACACTGCGAGGTCCAGTACACCCTGCGGGCTGCACAGCTGCATCATACAGCTCCATCGCACTCAGATGCAGGTTTCGGCGGACATTGGGGGGGAAGAAAGTAGGAATACCCACGGCACAATGCTGATACGGAGAGTAAAATACATTCAAATGATAAAAGAAAGCAAAAACTTCCTAATTCAACTCGTGCTCGCCGTATGCCATGCGGGAGCAAGCGGCCGCAACAGATCCGGCTGGGGAGAGAAAGCTCGTCTTACCTCTGGCGGAGCAGTGGCCTTTGCAACTTTCTTCTTCTTCTTGTCGAAGAAGGCGCTTAATTTGCTCATTTTGGCGGCGTAATGTTCTAGCCGCCGGTGGTGGACACCGCGGCACGCTCAGGTGGAAAAGGTGAACAAAGGACCCCAACGGAGCAACTCAATCACAGAAAGAAGAAATTCAATTCCCCTTTCTAACAAAGAAAGCAAAATACACTACCTAGGAGCTGTACTACTGGCCCTCGTATTGCGCCGTTTCAACTACGTCAGCGAGGGGCTGCGGCTGTAGTTGTAGTGCACGGGCACTACAATGGATCTTATGCGCAGGCTCTATAGAGACTTAGCATCACGAAAAGGAACAAATACAGTGAAATATCTCTAGGAATAGGACAACTCACTGTAGAAAAGAAGCATAATACAGACTATGTGCTCGCCAGCTCACACCTGCTATGGGGCTGGGTGTGAGGCTGGTGCGGTGAATCAGATACTGACCCTCGACGAGGGTCAGGATCAGTTCTATTCTTCTAAGGATTTCCCTCTAAGAAAGAATTCAAGAACTCGAATGCTTTTTGAATATTTAATGGGGTTTTATACCAACGTGTAACGTATAAAGCATTAACGTTAGATGTCTCAGGGTGTGGTGTAGCCACTTTATCGGTAAGTTCAAGTTCCCTGGTCCTCAATCTTATTCGAGGACCATCGTGAGCACCAAAATACTTGCAATAGGAGTTTTATAAAACTCACATGACATCGCCCCCAGTCCCCAGGTGTCCTAGGAACGACGGCCCAACGGCCTGGGTAGCGGGAAAGGGGGTCGCCGGGCATGAGTTGCAATGCATCTCGCTGCAACTGATGCTGCAAAGGGACCCCAAAAGAAAACACAACCGAGCCCCCTCTGCTGCATGCAGCAGAGCTTTTGACAGTTGTTGGACACTTAGTTAGCCTATAATGGGCAGTCTGCTTGCCCTACAGGAGTGGTGAGACTGAGGCTACGAACGGAATAATTCAGAAAATCTGTTGTGCAGCATGTAGGAAACGATATCTCTAGCAAGCTGTTGCGTGTTTTGTGCGAAGTTCGTGTATTTCCACTTTCCGTTGGTCCTCATATTCCTTAATTGAAGGTCCATCACGCGGCAATGTGTGCAGATGTAGCATTGCCTGTCTAGGTTTGGTGGAAATACACCTTATTGCTTTTAGGTTGGCCATTGAGCGTACGGAGATTGGCTACTGACTGCCAAGAAATATCTAGCAATTGTGTACAGTTTTATTGCTTGCCTGAACAGGGGGCTGCGGTGCACCAACGTGCACCGCATCACCCCGCAGGCCCCTCTGTCGCATCAGCCCAGGCCTTTGTCCCGTTTGGCCCAGGATGCCTGGAGGCAGTGTTCAGTTGGTTCTTGAAAACTCTCGTATCAGTTCTTCCACTCTACTGCAACATTAGCAGCAGCAGGCGAACCAGAGGCGTCGACATTATATTCAGATGGCAGGCCTGTCCCTAATCCCCCGCACAGATGACAAAAAGCCTTCAGAAATGCAATAACGAAATGTTTGTTCTCTGGCCCTGTCCGTTCACTCAGTACGGCTTTACAGTTCACGCAGTACAGCTTTACAGCCACGCTTATTGAGGGCACCACAAACGTGGTCGATGAAGAACTCTTCAGTTTCCTTATCGCCTGGGCACTCTGGGGTTCAAGCCCCAGCAACCACATGAACATTGAAACAATATAAATATATCCTGCAGATCCTGATACAAACACGTTCGTGATTCAAGGCGGGGCTACTGCTTGCACTAGCTAACCGTCACTATCTTGTGGCTCCAATTAGCTTCTTCTAAAGCGAATCATAGCCACTCCGTATGGCAGCAACAACACAGAAATTTCTAATCAAAAGAATTCATCTTTTTGAGTGTGCATCTCAAACGTGAATATAGTCAACTTGCATTCGCACTCTTTCAGGTCCAACAGTCTACAGCTTCAGAGTTGGCCGCCAACGAAAGCTGTTTGTCAACCAGTCGTAGAAGCTTGGAAGCCTCCTTACCTTTGTTGTTTTTTCTGTCATCCAACAGCAATCCTCGATATGAATGTGTTGAGAAAGTTAATTGAAATCGTGCAGGAGGGTCAAAAGCATACAATGGTATATAAGTATGAAACTTTGCCGGGAAGTCCTCGTCGTCGCTCCGTAGTGCAATGCTCTACCCATGAGATTCTCCGCAGGTCAGAGTAAACCACAGAGTTTCCCCCTGGAGTGAAAAGCTGTTCAATGCTGTATATCACTTCCAGGCTCCGCAAGCGCCACAGCTGCTTAGATGCCTCGCGGAATGGAGAAGAGAATGCGTCATGTTGCCGGCGTTGATTGGCTGCAGCTGGCCAGATGCAGCATTATGAATACGTACACTATCGAAGCAGCCTGGTGAACAAGCATGCAATTACTCACTCGTGTAAAAGCAGCGCATTAAGTGTACACACTGTCTTGTGGGACATTGGGCATCGCCGGCCGTAAAGCGGGGAGGCAGTGCAAAGTAGTACCCGGGGACATTTCGATACAATATGTTACAGTATATGTTTGCTCTGGAAGTGTTTTGCACCGCTAGGACCTCGGGAGCAACTCAAAGCAACAATACGAGCATCCCGGCCGAACAGGTGAACTACCGCTTGGCTACAAAGCTGGGCAAAAGAGCAGAGCCCCAGGGGGAAATACCATTACAGTTTCCCACCACTTAATGTGCCTTATGTATTATTATGGGCCTAGTCTCTAGAACTTCAGGGTCAGCATTCTATTCTAGTTCGTGCCGCCGTTTGATGCGGCTCACCCTGCGAAGTGCGTTAGACACTGATCCCTCGGTATAGAATAAATAGAAGTATGTTGAAATTTGTTTAAAAGCGAATGAGATGAAATAAAAAGGCGGGTTTGAAACTAAGCTACAAATAGACCCCACTGGCTCGCCTATCTATATGGCTGTCCGGTGGTCAGCGCTTGCCGCCGTCGCCTGCTGCATACATGTGGGGCTGCGGGAGGGTGTTACCCGTTTCCGCCTTTAGGACTTTTGCAAATCAATTCACAATTGTAAAACATATGAATCACAGAAAGGTGTGATGGCAGCCCCTTTCTGATGAAACCCTGGTCCCTCGGGGAGGCGACGCGCTGCAGGTACCAAGAACTCATCGTGGAGGGTCACTCACGACTCTTCGCCGCCGCACCGCAGGTCCAGCAGGGGGTGCGTTTGTGTGTGTGTTTCAAGCTTTTGCATATATATCAGCCGGTCGTTTTCCTTTAGGGCACCGTTTGCTTGTTTACCTGTGCACAGCGCCTGGTTTCGGCAGCGCAGGAACGGTCCAGGGGGTTGACAGGTTGTACAGTAGTGCTCGCCGTGTAATTCCTGGCTATTCCTTGGGGTTATTCCTTGGGACGCCAGAGAATAATGAGGATTTTCAGGTGTATTTTCTGCCTCGTTGTGGGCAGTGTGTCAGCTGTGGGCCACGCAGAGGGGGCCACTGGCGCCTCTCTCCTGGGTACGCTACTTCGCCCTTTGGATGCGTTGAACCTCCAGACGGCCTTGAGCGCCCCATCGAGCCTGTTAAGAGGCGACCGTACAGCAGGTTATAGTGAAGCGAGGCCTCTTCTCCCGAAGCAGGGGGATGTGTCTTTGTTGGACTCTGCCAATACCCTAGAGCTCCTCTCCAGCCTTAGACTGCCGCGCCAGTCACTTACTGACTATCTTCAACGGAGAACTACGGGATTCTCCAGCAGAAAGTTCACGATTGTTTCTGCCCTATTCGGAGACGAGGCGGCCGATCAAAAGCTCAACGATGCATTGGGACCGGTGATCAAACACGCACAACATTGCTCCCAGCATCACCCGTGCTGAGTCCAAGTTGAGGAGTTCTTCACAGAGCTTTCCCCTCCAACCCCTTCGTTGAATATGCTCTGATATGTGTTTCCCTGCAGCCAGGAACTACGCATGTGGAGCAGAGGACGGACTTCCCTACTCGTGACTCCATCAGGCGCTACTACAAACCGGAGCCGCGGCTTCGTGCCGTGAATGAGGCGCTGGGACTTCACGGTTTCCCTCCGCTTCCTTACTTGCCTCCGTTCCTTACGGACAGTGCAAATGTGCTGGAAGGCGGCGACGCCATAGAGCAGCTCATCGAGAGGATCAACAGCGGTCAAGGGCTTCCCGAGAACGTCATAAACGAATTTTCTTCGGAAGAGTACAGCTCTATCCGTGCCTCCTGGCACCTCCCCTCAACTAGAAACTCTCCTCCCAACGAGGGTCTCGCCAGAAGCCCGTGGCCAATTCCTCACAGAAACAGCGCAGCCCAAGTAAGTCGGGGCAAGTCTGGCTCCGGCAGCGTTGCAGGGAGGCGTCAGCCAGTAGCTTTGCAGAGGGCGTTGAGGGTTTGTTCTTACTCTCCATCATGAACCCGTGGATTCTCAGCATTCTTTCACTGATTCTATTGCCGCTGATGCTTTGTGTTGCTGCTGCTGTTGCTGTTGCGGCGCGCATAGGGCAGTACGGCGCTACCGGGTCCAGATGGTACCCGCCGTTTGAGCCACAACTTTTTGAACAGGGCGATGGTAACATCGAATCCAATAACTCTCTTTTACACAGCAGATGAAAAGTATCTTTGGGGAAGCAGCTGGACCACCATCTTTAAAGTTGCGCGGACTAAGACATCTTTGGCTGTTGTGGACTTCGTCCGAAAGAAAGTTGAGACCATCATGGAAGACAAGTTTCATGGAGCTTACGCGCTACTCACGCAGGAGGTGAGACACGTATGGGAAAAGGGACTAGTACAGGTGATCGGATCGCCACATATGCGCAGCTAGTGGGTACAGAGGGGAACAGGAACCCCTTGGGCGGCTCTGGTTAGGGGTTCTGGCCCGTATGAATTGCACTGACAGTTCATGCAAAGCAGATGTTGCCGAAGTCAGCAGAAAGAGGCTATGCAGCATGGACCCGCAATGTTCTGTGTTTCGTGTCCCTCTCCCAGAACGTGTTCGTCGTTTCGACAGGAAAGCGTTTGGAGGCCTACTACGACGCGCCCAACTCCAACGGGGACCGCATTATGATGCACCCTGAGACCTTTACGCTTCAATCAGGCCTTCAGGGACTTGATGCAGAAGCAGTCAGACCCCAGGAAGTCTTCCGCGCCCTGTGCATGACCCATGACGGCCACATTGCCTGGGTACATAATTCCCACTTAGATCTATAATAAATTGACCCGATCTGCATGCTCATGAGTTTCCAGGTTATTTCACTGTGATACAACCAGTGTTCTATATTACAACAGTCGTTACCACCTCAGAAAATGCTCCAGCAATATTAGATATCTTTGGAACGAGGCATCCGTCGTGCTGCCACTGCCTCACCATTGATGAGAGCTCTCTGGACTGGCGTAAGAGCTCGGCTCATCTGCGAGTGACAGCACTGCCAATGTTGTTTTTACTGAAACCATCGTCTCCGTGCAATGAGAATTCACAATTGTATATTGTAGCTTATGCATATGCATTGTCCTTTTGCAGGTCACTGACGTCGGGCGTCTGGGAATACTGAACCGTGACGTGAAAAACGGCGGCTTTCGCAAGGCTCTTGCCAGCTTGATGCTGGGAGCTGAAAAGCGTGAGAAATCCGCAGCTAAGACGGACAAGACATTAACACCAAACGGCATTTCTGATGCTTCCGATGGCTCTGCCAGTGGTGCTTCTGACGATATTGAAGTGTCGAACAACATTGCTTGCGACGACCGGGGCGGGATATATGTGGTGTCCTCCAAGTACATGCACAAGGCCGAATGGAACGGCGAACAGCTTACTGTGGCTTGGGAAGAGCCCTATGATCTAGAGCCCGGTCTAGGGGGAACCGCTCCCGTGCGCCTTGGCGAGGGATCGGGCAGCACTCCAACTCTTATGGGCACTGCTAATCGTCGCTATGTTGTTATTACAGACAGCGCGAAGCTCATGAACCTAGTAGTTATGAATGCGCAGACCGGGAAGGTGGAAGCTAGACACCCCATTACATTTGGGGATCCCAATGCTAAGGAAACGGCCAGCGAACAGTCCGTTTTGGTTCATGGTTGGCGCATGGCAGTTGTAAATAACCAGCCAACAGAGGAAACGAGACTGTCTACCAGCTTCTTACACTACCTGGGAAGCCCCACGACTTTCCTCGCAGGCCTCAGCTCTTCAGGCAATACATGGACGCGGTGGAACGACACCGTTACAGCGGCTCTCCCTGTCATCGTGGGTGACGCCCCTAAGGGCGTTGAGCAATTCGAATATGACCCTGACGCCAGGAAGATTCGCTCTGTGTGGGTGAACAAGGATATTTCAATCCCCAATGGCATCCCCTCAATGAGCGCAAAGTCGCAACTCATGTACGGTGTGGGCAAACGATGTCCTCTTGGAGGCGATGCCGCGCCGTTGAGAGGCATGTGGACCCTTGAGGCCCTTGACTGGTGGACAGGGGTCAGCAAGTTCCACTACAACATTGGAGTGGGGCCGATGAGCAACTCAGTATATGCTGCCACGCAGATTGGGCCAAACGAAATCATCACAGGAACTGCCGGAGGAATCGTCAGGATAAGGGAAGCATTATAGAGCGGACATATTGGCTCTTTTTATGCGCAGTGGAGGAACGCAGCACAGGTCAACGAGATGATACAAAAACCAAGGAAAGGACATATTCCTTCAAAGTGCAAAGAACACTGTTAGGAGTGGCCACAGCAGCTACGTGCATGATCCGTTCTTGCATGTTTAATCAAGTTTATAGCATCCGTGATCCTATTGCGGTCGTATGGGGCTGCTCCTTGCACTGGCCGAGCTGAAGATAGGCGGTTGGGGGAGGTGCGGGTTGGGGAGTCGCGGTGGCGGCAGCAGCCCAAATGGATGGCCAGGCGACTGCCTGGTAGTCAAACTACGCAGACCCTTGCATTGTGCTTTTCTGTCGATGAGCTATGCCATAGTTTGAGATCTGTAGTCTCTCCATTTTACGCGGCTGTTCCAAAGAAACATGGTTGAGTCAACTTGCGCTGACTGGGCCGAAACTTTGGGTCACAGCTGCACCGATGTGGCGCATGCAAGTCATGCAATTCTGAATGTGACTATTTGCACCGATGAACGTAAATGATTCGCCTCTACAGAAGGCAGAGAGTGACTTTGCTCTATTTTTGCGGGTTCGGGGAGTACGCCGCTTAAGCCCCTGCCATTTCAAGTATGCAGGCCCCAGGAGGCAATGACTTATTTTTGTTACGGGGGCTACCCTTCTGTGTGTCCCTGCATGCTGTCTGTGCCTACTAAGACGCTTATCTACAACGTATCCACTTTACTTCCGGGGGCTTGTATGGCCACTACCCGTCACGCTGTATTGTAGGATCACTCCCCACTATGCATTGCCGTGGAATTGCCGAAGATATAAAGCATCACTGCTCTGGTAAAATGCATCCTTAGCAAGTATCCGTAATGTGGAAGAATCTGAATCAACAATTATGCAACATTGACGAAACTGCACGCATACGGCCTCAAGGACAGACCGCAGGTCTCTGTAAAGTCCCACTTCAAGCTCTTCAAGGGCAACGTGAATAGCACGTCAGTCCAGCCCCTGGTGCAGCTAGCTAGCTGCAAAGCCTGTGTCAATTGACGCAGCCGGGGTAGAAGAGGCACTCCTGAGCCGTAACGAGTATTCCAGCATTGCTAAACCCGTAGAGTCCGCACTTGCGCCGAATAAGATACTCCCATCACGCTTAATCTCTTGCAGTTTTTTGTATCGCTTGTTTCAGTTTCAGGTGTTGAAATTTTCAGCCAGAGTACGGGGTTTTTTCAATACATGGTCAGCTGCTTTAAAACAAGTTTAGTTTGCAATAAGAACACAAGAGCTCCATGGAACGGCAACAGATTGTCACGGTGCAGTATCCACAGAGCACGCCAGGTTAGAGAATGCTCTGTGCTTGGTCAAGCAGCTGCAAAAGGAGCGTCTGTGCAGAAAGCCGCGTATTCAGAGATCATGAGCAGTCAGTCGGCGACAACATCCACCCTGGTAGATGTTGCACTAAACTAATATTAAAAGCTAGTTTTTTCTGGAGAATTTTATCGTGAAAAAATAGTCGGTGAGAGCCTGACAGCTAATATTTTGGCTCGTTCACTAAAGCTGACCCTTGCTTACTTACTACCGATTATCACTTCACTGAACCTTCGTCTTATTTGAAACCAAAGTCACTCCTGTCTTCTCTCTTTCTGTCAAAATATGACAGTTGATTAAGCCGCAAAACCCCGCTATACTCTACAGAAGTTCACCGCCTTTCCCGTCGCCTGCAAGCAGGCGCAACTGCCGAAGTACCCATGACGAGTTAATCCCAGAGGAAGCTAAAGAGCAAAAGAGTCTACATTTTAGCATATACATAGAGAAACATCTGTAAATCGGTAAATAATCATGCTAGTCTTGCCCGTATGTCTCCGGTCCTGCATTGGCCACCTGAAGGCCGAAAACCTGCATAACCAGGTATCGCCCTAACGGTCCTACAAAACCTAGATAAACACTTCTATAATTCAAGAGAATGGACTGAGATTAAATATCTTCTATATCATCGATCCATCATTTTTTCCCTAACATTTTGTCTCCGTAGGTCAGCAACCCCGTTGTTGCTCGTGCGGCTTCCGGCTGCCACGACTAGACAAAGGAACCAGAAGCAACGCATGCCAAGGGCTTCCATTCGTTAAAGCATTTTTAAGAAAATGCAAAACGGGTTGCAAATTATGCAACAGACATCTACCTATGTCCACTCACACTAGCAGCGACGGCGGCGCTACAGCAGCGGAACGTTCAACTTGCGACTCAGCAGAGTTTGGATCGTCGGGGGTGGTGTACACGCCTTACGGGATGTGCGGAGTTTAACTGCTCCTTAATACAGTTTTTAATATTGTGTTTGGCCTAAGGGTTCTTTTGAAACCCTAGGGCAGTGGCTAATCCCAGCTCTCGGCGGCCCTGTGATACATGCAGCCGGAGCGGCGCCTCAGCTTTTACTACTTCTCGTCCCTCTCTTGATTCCTTTCCTGTTGTTTATTACTGGACACTTCAACTGCTGACCCACTGGTGGAACTTCGCACAAGAGACAAGCGGCGCGGCCGCAGCTGCAGTAGCAGCAGCAGCCGCGGCAGCAGCGGCAGCGGCAGCGGCGGAGAGTGACGGCAACTTTTCGCCTTCAGAGCTGCGGCCGAGGCGGCGACCACTCTAGGGGGACCATAAGGCGCCAGCAAGAACAGCAGAGACATAGGCGGCTGGCCCCCGCGGAACTTCTCCCCCATCTAATGCGGTGTTGCCGAGAAGCGCCCGGAGAGTTGAACTGCGAAGCCACAACGAGTGTTAGTGCTCCAAGGAGCTCAAGAAATGTCTACAGGTGCTTGAGCTGCGCAATTCATATACCTATAACGTCGAAATTCCCCCCTACAGCTCCTTGGGTTACAAACTACTCGGCCTGTTGTATGCTGTGCGCCCGTGCAGGCATCTGGCGCTTGTTCCGAAGGGGTGGCGATGAAGGGGATGGCGAGGGGAAAGCAACCCGCGCACACGTAAGTCTTACACTTCCACCACTGTAGATGTGAAGCAGCTTCTAGGGCGCAAGCGGGATCCACAGGGGTACCCCACAGCGGCAGTGTGCTTCGCTGCGTGTGCCTGTCTTGGTTTTTTTAGCTGGGAGAGGAGAACCAATTCTACTACAACAAAGAGCTCAAACGATGGCTTATCCGAGGCGAAGAACACCTCGCTCAGCAGCAGGACACTCCCCCCCCTCCCCCTGCTGCAGCTGCAACGACAGGAGGACAACAGCTTGACAAGGGGTCACCCCCTGTCGGCGGCATGAGGCGAATGAGGTGAGGAGAAGGCATCACAGGGTTTTCTATGGGTTGCTTTTCTGTATACATATGCGTGCTGCATCGACTTGTACGCTGGCAGCGACACAGCCTCCAGCTTGCTTTCTTCGTTGCTGCAGGGCCCGTGGCGCTGCGAGTCTATACACTGCCACGCCAGGGTTGCTGACAAAGAGCAGCGGGGGAAATGACGCCACCAAACGGCCCCTCACATTTGTGATGCCGCCCTATAGGCTGCCGCAGCAGCCGCAGCAGCAGCAGGAATCACAGCAGCAGCAGGCGGAGGGGAGTGAGCCGGGGGCTCCACCCATTGACAACAGTTTGCATGAAGCAGCAGCAGGTGCAGTTGATCACGAAGACACAGCGGCTAAGGGCAACCAAACTATGGATGGCTGTCGTGTGCGAGCTGCATCTTCGGAGCCGCCGCTCTGTGATAGCTCCGACTGGGCTGCAGCAGAGGAGCAGCACCAGCAGCACTACGGGCAGCAGCAGCTGCAGCAGCAACACCAGCAGCAAACAGAAGCTGAGGGGGAACCTGCAACAGAGAAGACGGAGTCACTTACGCGGCCACCCCTATTCCCAAACGTTTCAGCCCATTGCTCCACTGGCGCCCCCTCCCCCCCCGAAGGTGAAGCAAATACGTTGCTGTTCTCTGGGGGGCAGCAGCAGCACCTGGAGGAACCACAGCAGCACTCTTTGCCTGTGAGTGGCGTGGAGGATATCTCAGGTGACCAGCAGCCACGTCCGGAGCTTACCTCGTTTGCGCACTACCCGCAGCAGCAGGAGCTGTCGCAGCAGCAGGAGCTGCTGCACCAGCAGGAGATGCAGCAGCGGCAGGAGATGCTGCAGCAGCAGGAGCTGCTGCAACAGCAGGAGATGCTGCAGCAGCAAGAGCTGCTGCAACAGCAGGAGATGCTGCAGCAGCAGGAACTGCTGCAGCCGCAAGAGCAGCGGGAGCTACAGCATGAGCAAGAACAGCAGGAGCTGCAGCAGCAACAAGAGCAGCAGGACCCGCGGATAGCAGCGGAGGAAGAAGGCTACGGAGTGGCAGCCCCCGTGCTCCCCCGGGACCAGACTGGTGAGTTGATTGAAGAGCCATTGGTCCAGTCTCCTGGGCAGCAGGATCAGCGGTTGCTAGAGGGCGGTGCATCTGCTGCTGTTTTGCTTGAGCCCTATGCGCAAGCGACAGATGCTGCAGCTGCAGCAGTAGCTCCGCAGACAGCTGAAACATCAACTGATTATCAACACAACGAAACACAGGGGAGCGCAATCGAAGACGCTCCAACAGCTCGGCAAGCAGTTGCTTTCCCCTTGCAGCAGCAGAACGCGGGAGAGGATCAAGGAATCGTTCCCCGCTGGGGCGAGCAGCAGCAAGAGCAGCAGGCGGAGTGGCAGCAGCAGCAGCCGCAGCAACAGCAGCAGACGCAGCAACAGTATGTCGGGCAGCCGCTGCAGCATGAAACCTTAGCTCTTCCGGAGGCCAGCGGCTCAAGCAGCAGCAGCTGCAGCACAGGGGCCTCGCCAAAGTGGGAGGGTCACCTGCACAGCGAAGCAGATGGCGGAGCCATTGTACAGTCCGGGACCAGTCCGACATCTTCTCCAGAAGCTGCGGCGGCAGCAGCAGCAGGTGCTGCTGCTGCTGCTGTTGCTGCTGCTTCGCTGCAGGCGGGTACGGCGTCCGAGAAGGCAAGCTCCCACCACCTGCCATCGGAGATGTGGGGCTCGTCTATCTCGCCCACAACATCTCTTCCTCAAGAAGAGGAGAGATTACTGCTGGAGCAGCAGGTGGAGCATCAGCAGCAGCAGCAGCATGAGTTGCCGCAGCATGGTGAAGAGCAGCAGCATGAAGATGAGCATCAGCTCCTGCCCCAGCAGCAGTACCAAGGGCAACAGCAGCAACTGCATGCAGGCTTGTTTATGGAGGATATCCTACCTGGATTTGCTCGTGCAGTTCAGGATCTGGAGAAGAGCAGCGCAGAGACATTGCGGCAGCTGGCAGCACTGCAGCAGCAGGTGGGGGTGTTGCGCTCTCGCAATGCCTGTCTCACAGCAAACATACAGCAGGTGACGGAGCAGCTTCTAACAGGGGATGGTCCTATGGTGGAGCGGCAGCGGGCAGCAGAACTCCTCCAGGATGCTCTTGGCGCTGCAGCTGCTGAGTTCCCGTCCCCCATAGGCGACGATGCGGAGCCGCAGCCGTCGCCAACGTGCAGTGCCGTCTCGGATGCAGAAGCAGCATTAGAAGAGGCCCAAGGGGCAGTTTCTGCTGTACGTCCACAGTGAAAGTTGCATGAAACCCGGCTGCAGCTGAAGACAGGGCTGCTGCATTCAGCCTCATGATAACTAGAATTTGTGGTGGTGGCTCTCACCCTCTCGTTGCAACGGTGTTTCTTGCCTTTTTGCATGATCTGCTGCTGAGCTTGGCTCTGTTGCTGCAGTGACAGAGGGGGGCTGGGATCCTAGTGTAGATGCAGCTGTCTAGATTCCGCTTTCTAGTTGTTTGTGGTGTTGCTGCTGGCGTGTTGTGTGCAGCTGACGCAGATGTTGGTGGAGCAGATGGAACGAAACAGACAGCTGCAAGAGGAAGACATGCATTTCGATGCGGATGTTGTACAGTTCATCACGCAGCTGCAGCAGCAGCATGGGTCTCTTGAACCGTTCCTGCAGCAGCAGCTGCTGCTGCAGGAAGCACATATCGAGCAGCAGGAGAGTCTGACGAACCTAAAGCGCATGCACGATGACCTTAGCAGACGCATGGAGGAGAGCTGCGCTCGAGCAGCTGACCTAGAGGGACAGTTAGCGTTGGCATACGAGAAACGGCAGCAGGTGCAGCAGGAGCTCGACACCACTCAACGAGAGCTGCAGCACAACCAGGAACTGCTGCAGCAGGCGCAGCAGCAGAATGATACACGCGCAAACGAGCTGCTCCAGCAGTCGAAAGTATATCAGGAGCAGCTCGCGGCTTCGGAGCAGCAGCTGGCAAACCTACAGCAGGAGATGGAGCAGCAGAAAGCGCTTCTAGAGGAGCTGCAGCAGCAACGGGCGGCTGCGTCGGAGCGAGAAGCAGCAGCCATCGCCGCCAGGGCAGCAGCTGAGGCGGCACGGGAGGCGGCGGAGAGCCAGGTGAGAAGGATGTACGGTCAGTTGGGGGCGAGGTGTATCTCTCACTCGACTTGTAGCGTTAGGGGCCAAGTCGCAGGCAGTGGCGTACGAGCAGCTGACGCGGACCACTGGACCTGTAGCTGATGCTTTCCTGGGCTGCTGAGTTTCCTAATTAGCTGTTGACAGAACTAGTAAACCTTTTTGCTCTGCGGAAACGCAGAAACGCTGCGCTGGTATTTCTTGTGACGTTGGTTGTGCTGCACCAGGCTGCACGGGCAACGCTTGCGAATGAGCAATTGCAGCAGGAGATGCAGCATCAACTGGAAGAACAACAGAAGCAGCTGGAGATCGCCTTGAAGGAAAAGCAGGATGCTTTGGACACGGCTTCAAGCATGCAACAGCTGCAGAACGAGAAAGCTGTAGAACAGCACCAGCAGCAAGAAGGTAGGATGCAGTTGCTGTAGGCCTCTGTGTTGCAGAGGATTAAGTTTCGGGTTCAGCTCTAGTACTGTTTAGCTGAAGTTTTTCAAAAAGACTGAGAATCTGGTGTATTGCAACGGTTGCGAGTGTGCCGCAAGCTGCATTACTTTTGCCTGTATATGTTTCCATGTTCTACAGATCTGGAAAGGCAACTGCTGGCGCGGGAGTTCATGGTGGCGCAGCTGCAGCGGGAGGTGAATCAGCAATTGATAAGGCAGCAGGAACAGCAGGAACAGCACAAAACAGAGCTGGAGAAGCTCAAGCAGCAGCACTCAGTAGAACTGCAAGCACTCGCCGAGGAACACGCTGCAGTCCTCAAGCAGCGAGAAGAACAAAACCAGAAACTGGTGGAGGAAAAGCAACGCATCACAGCTGCATGCCACGATGAAGTACAGCGAGCGCAACAGACGGTTGATGCACTGCAACAACAACTGGCTCAGCAGGAGGAGCAGCACGAGCTCATGACGCAGAGACAGCAAGAGGATTCGGAGCAATTCATGCGCAGGCTACAGCAGCAGGAGCGTGCGGCGAGCGAACAGCTACAGAAGCTGCAGCAGCAGGCAGAAGAAAAGCGTTTGCTACTGGAAGAGAGTGGAATACAGCGGGAAGAGCTCACAAGAGAAGTGCACTCGTTACAGCAGAGGCTGGGGGAAGTCGAAGCTGCTGCTGAGGCTCGGGTAGAGTCCCTCAAGCAGCAGTTGCTGGATGCTACGTCTTCACTTGAGTCCGAACGTAAAGCGCTACAGCAGCAGCTGCAAGATGCAACAAGCGGCGTACAGCAGCAGATGGAGCAGCATGAAGCTTTAAGGAAGAAACATGAAAACCTGCAGCAAGGTTACAATGACGCTCAACAGCAGGCAGCTAGGGAGAAGAGTGAGCTGGAAGAGCGAATAGTGGTGCTGGAGGCACAGCTGCAGACACAGCAGGGATTGCTGCAAGCAGCACGTGAGGAGCTGCTGCAACAGCCAATTTTGTTGCAGCAAAAGCATGAGGAGGACCTGCAGCAGCAATTGGCAGCTGTGCAGCAGCTGGAGCTGGAAGAAAGGGGAAGGCTGCAGCAGGAGCGTGACCAGATTTTGGAGCAACAACAGGAGAAGCATGCATTGTTGATGCAGCAACTACGGGAGCAGCACGCCCTGGAGCAGCAACAGCTGCAGCAGCGGATGCAGCAGGAGCAACAAGAGCAGCAAGAAGCGCTTCGCAGTCACTTTGAGAAGTTATGGAACGAGGAGAGTGCAAAGATGGTTGCAGCAAATGCTGCAGTGGTTGAGCAACTTCAACAGGCGCAGAAGCTACTGCTGGAAGAACAGCAGCAATTAGAGGCTTATGAGGGCCAACGGGAAACCCTTGCAAAGGAGAGAGAAGAGGCAGCTGCTTTGAAGACACAGCTCTTGGCAGCTAATGCAGATGTGCAAAAATTGGAGCAGCGGTGTGAAGCCTTAGAACGTCAACGAGAAGACCTCCTGCAGCAGCGGAGCACCCCGGAAGCCGAAGTACATGCGGCCATGAAGGAAGAGTTGTATCAGTTACGGCACGAGGTAATGGAGAAGGATCGGCTAGCACGGGAATTGCAGCAGCAACTGGATGAGCACGTTGCCAGCCAGAGAGACAGGCTAGGAGAGGTTAATGCGATGTTGGAGCGGCAGGAGGAAGCGAGCAAACAGAAGGACCTGCGACTGCGTAGTGTGGAAGAGGAGCTGCAAGCCCTCCAGCAGCTGCTGCAGGACACAGTGGATGTGAAACAGCTCGAGGCAGCGCGTGCTGAGGTAGCAGAAGGCAATCGGAGGGTGCAGAGACTGGAGGCCGACTTGGCAGCTGCCGTTGCCGAACACGAATCAGTGAAGAAAGCTCTGCAAATAGCAGAGGTGCGCATCTCTTCCTAACAATTTATTCGTTTCACTTGTTTCCCCTTAGATTCGTGCGTAGGCTGTAGACGTGCAACTCGTCGCCGTCCAGGTCATGTGAGGCTTTTATTGTGGCTCAGGAGAAACTGAAGAATGTCCATTCAAAAGCTGAATCTGGAGCCACTACGGATGCCTTGAATCGCCACTTAGAGACGAAAGAGGCCGGCACACAGGCCGTGGGAGGTGTAAGCTAAGTGTTTGTCTCATTTGCGTCAATACATTCATAATTTTATGTAAATGAAAAAGTCAGCAAAGCTGCCCAACCCAGTACAGTTTTCGGTTGGTGCTTCTCTGTGTGAACAGGACATATCTGAGGATGATCCACGCAGCTTGGAAAACCTGCAGAGGCAGGCGAAACGAGCTCACCAGAAGAACGAGGAATTGGCCGTCGTAAGCTAGCCCTTCGGGAGTGAAAACCTACACAGTGCAGGAAGAATACTCATGCTTGCGCAGTATGGATGAAAGCATTCACAGGAGTTAACACTTCTTATACCAGGCCTTTTTCTTTTGGGGCTGTCTCCTGAGAGGCCTACGTGTTGTCTGGGTTTCGTGCTATTGAAGATTTTTTTAATGATACTGCGCCCCTGTCTTTTAATGTTTCAGCGGAATGCGACTCTGACGCGGATTAGCGACTTCCTCTCCAGGCGGTTACAGTTCTTCGAAAGAGCACTGGTAGGCAGCTCTTTACAGTTGAATCCTCACTGAGTATGCCTGCCGAACCGAGAAAATGGGGCTAGCGCAGCGCTCCCGTACCACCCTGCAGATATGAGTATGGTTTTCTGTTACGAGTTTTGGAGATTGTGGCGTTTTGTATGTTAGGCGGATATGGGCCCCCACGGCTTGGTTGTTATCGAAGATTGCGACAGAAGCGTTGTTCTTGCCCCACCAGAAATTGAGACTTCTCCCACAGAGCCACCTGTGCCAGAGTTGATTCTTGTGGGAGAGGATGCGGAACCTAGCGGCGATCCTGCTTCATCAAGTCGCAGTAAAAGCGTTGACACACCAGCACAAATGACCGGACCAGTGGACGCGGAGGAAAAGATTAAACCTGACGTAGCAGGGCCGACTACGAAAGAGAATGCTGCACCACCTCTCCTCTCGCAACGATGTGGCGAGGGCGAGGCAGCGATGACGGCGGGTGGAGCGCCTCCCACGCCTCCTGAGTTCCTTCGGGCGTTGAAGGCAACGCCCAAGACCTGAAGGCGGAAATCGTCAGATGATATCAGAACAGTTTCATCCCCTTTATTAGTTTCGGGGATAGACTGAACTTAGTACCGTCTTGCGCATGCCACCAGTTTCGTTGCCTGTGAAGCCGCTTCCTGCAAGCTTGTCGTTAATCGAAACGCAGCAGCTTCGCTGGTGGGCCATTTGCTGTGCATTGGGCCCAATAGTCGGCGGCTGCGCTAGTTGTTCTCTAATACTCTAGGTTACTTGCCTGTTTGCAGTGCTTGTGAATGGGCTCACATGTAGTACTTGTACAGTAGGAAGAGTAGTGATGCTGCTGTAGCGGTGTCGACGCAACAAAGTGCCAACCTTTTGCTCTACTACAAACGACTCAGACTGCACGCGGACTATGTAGATTAGCTAAACCAAAACTCCCCTGCTACGCAAGCGGGAAAGACCCTAGGCGCTTATCGAAAAACACTGCAACGTGCCGCTTCTCGCATCTAACGATAGTCGGGATGTGACTGTCCCAAAACTAAACAACTGGCCGCAAGAAGTCCTGCTTAAATAGGTGAAAGGGTATCTACCCAAAAGGACACAAGTCCGCATTCGTTGATAATATCGTCGACAGATGACTGTCGGCTGGCATGTAAAAACTGTGTAGAATAAATACACATTGAGAGCCACACCTGGTACAGAGAGAGTCATGCATTTTCCTGCCTTTTGGCCTCAGAATGACGTTCATGCGGACCAGATAGCCTACATGCGCTGTGTGGAGTCACATCTCTGCAAATTGAGGACGGGATAGTCCCATGCGGGGTAAATGCGTATGGATAGGCTCGTCGCTCTCACTGCTTCTTGACACTGTGACATAATAGAACGAAAAATATTGTCTTTTGCAGTTGTTTTATATGAATAGGTATCTCTGCTGCCAGGCTATGGATATTGTTTTGCTTTTCATTGGAAGCTTCTGTGTATTGTTGCTTTGCATTGAAAACATTTCGGTACTTTTGCCAGCATAGCACCTACAATTAACAATTTTGATTTTGGTTTGGCGGTTCACGTCCTCCAGTCAGTAGATTCTCACATCAATGCTGATGCACGTGGACCTTCTTCTGCTCCTGTTCCTTCTGAAGAATACAGAGCACACGCAGATGCATGAATCCTGAGGTCACTTCCTATAGGAATAACGCACCACTGGGGACTAGCTACACTTTCAACAAACTTTATGAGCCAGATCTAAAATTATGGACACTCGACATGTTGACGTACGCTCAATTTGCAGGTTGCACCGGTCAACTCTTTGGCCAGCTCGTCGATCGTTGAACCGCCGAAGCTGCTTGCACCCCCCGCCGGTGGAACACCAGGGCAGGTTAGTGCATTGCCACAGTCGTCAGCGCAAGCATCACTCGACTGAGAGTCGTCCAGGGCGCCATACAGGTAGCATTTCCATGAGGAGCCATCCTTGCGGGCTACCGCGTATTGGCACATGCTTTCGTCAGTAACACACATCTTGGCAGCAATCACCATGCATTCGGAGTCAAGTACATCTTGTAGATGTCCACTACCGGGAACCTGCAGCGCCCACAACGTGCATCTATGATTAAATGACAAAGGAGGCAAAACACATCTAGTTCGGGCCTTGGATACATTTCATATTCTTATCCTTACCCGCTCTGGAACCTTCAGCCCATTGTTCCCACCTGATTCTTGGCCTCCGTGTTGTCCGCACTCTTCGCTCTTGTTCTGCGCAATAACTTTGCGAGCTCCGTCGTCCCGTGTGAGATGCACAGTCGAGCTACCATTTACAGCGCCAAGGCACGACGTGGAGTTCCCACAAGCGTCCGCACAACCTTCGCCGGAAATGCTGAAGTCAAGGGAATCCTCAACATAGCACCGCCACTCCTTTTTCTTCTGGTCCTTAGTTCCTACGTCGTGACGGGCGAAGATATTGGCGTTGCAATATGCCTTCAGTCCACTTGAGCAAGCTGCCTTCGCCTCCTTAGCACAGAACTGGTCCAAAGCAGATTGTACTTTTGATGGCTGTGTGGACGGCTGTGTTGTTGTTTCCTCTCTTGATGCCTCAGATGTTTCTGATGAGCCTCTGCAGAACTCGTCCTTGTTTGCTTCAATTGTTGCATTCATCTTATCCCTCAGAGACAGGTGTTTGAAGGAGGCACCGTTGACAGCACCAGGGCACGACACGAGATTCGCGCAGTTGTCGGTACAACCATCGCCAGTCAGGCTGAAGTCAAGAGAATCCCGAATATAGCAACGCCACTCCCTGGTCTGCTGATTATTGTTTCCTACGTCGTGACGAGCGAAGAAGGTAACATTGCAGTAGGGAGTCTTTCCTTGTGCGCACGCGGCCTTCCCCTCTTCAACGCAGAACTGGTCCAAAAAGCTTTGTAGATTGGATGGCTGATATGGTACTCTGTCTTCGCAGAATTCGTCTGTGAATGCGTTGATCGCCGACTTCATCTTATCATTCAGAGAAAGATGTTTGTAAGAGACACCGTCAACCGCACCACGGCAGGAACGGAGATTCGCGCAATCGTCAGGGCAACCATCGCCGGACAGTTTGAAGTCAAGGGATTCCTGAATATAGCAACGCCACTCTCTCCTCTGCTGGTCATTGTTTCCTACATCGTGACGAGCGAAAAACGTGGCACCGCAGTAGGGGGTCTTCCCTTCTGAGCACGCGTTCTTTCCCTCTTCATCACAGAACCTGTCCAAAAAGACTTCAAGTTTGGATTCTTGCTCTAAGCAGAAATCTGCCTTGTTTTCTTCAATCAATGCCTTCATCTTATCATTCAAAGACAGGTGTTTATAGGAGACGCTCTTAACAGCACCACGGCAAGTCAGGAGATTTGCACAATTGTCGGTACAACCTTCGCCGGCCAAGGTGAAGTCAAGGGAATCGCGGATATAGCAACGCCACTCCCTCTGCTGCTGATTATTGTTTCCTACGTCGTGACGAGCGAAGAAGGTAACATTGCAGTAGGCAGTCTTTCCTTCTGCGCACGCGCGCTCCCCCTCTTCAGCACAATACTGGTCCAAGAACGCTTGCAGCCTGGATGGCCTATGCGCCTCTGCTGGACTTTCACAGAATGCATCGGTGAATGCGTTGATCGCTGACTGTATTATATTGCCCACAGAAATGTGTTTATAGGAGACATTGTCAACTGCGCCAGGGCAGGACACCATATTCCCACAACCGTCGGCACAACCGTCGCCGGTCCTGTTGAAGTCAAGGGATTCCTTAACGTAGCAACGCCAATCCTTTGTTCTCTGCTCATTGTTCCCGAGGTCGTAACGAGCGAAAAACGTGGCGTCGCAGTAAGGAGTTTTACCTTCTGAGCATGCGCGTTGTCCTTCTTGAATGCACAAGTTGTCCAAGAAGTTTTGCAGCTTGGATGGCTCGAATTCTCCTGCGGGTTGTTCTGCGGGTTGTTCTGCAGGTTCTTCTGCAGGTTGTCCTGCAGGTTCTTCTGCAGGTTGTTCTGCAGGTTCTTCTGCAGTTTGTTTGCAGAATTCTTCCTTGTTTGCTTCAATCGCGTTCTTCAACTTGTCATTTCGGGTCAGGTGTTTGACGGAACTGCCATTGACTGCACCACTGCACGACATGGGGTTCGCACAATCGTCGACACAGCCGTTGCCTGACATGCTGAAGTCAAGGGACTGCTGCAGATAGCAACGCCACTCCTTGGCCGTCTGTCCCGCAGTCCCTAGGTCGTATCTGGCGTAGATGCTGGCATTGCAGTAGTCCTTCAAGCCTTGTCCGCACGCTGTCTTGGCTTCCTCAACACACATCTGGTCCAAGAGATGCTGCAGATTAGATGAAGACGCGGGAGGTGTAGATGTCTCTGGCACGTCGACGGTCACCTCCTCCTCCGGTGCCTCCTCGCCCTCGACTGAGTCCTCGCTCTCCATTGAGTCCTCGCTCTCCATTGAGTCCTCGCTGTCTGTTGACTCCTCTCTCTCCGGTTCTTCAGGGGTGCTGCAGTACAGTCCCTTGTCTGCGGCAATAACTGACATGAGGGCTGTTCCACGTGAAAGGTGTGTAGTGGAGGTTCCATTTACCGCTCCACGGCACGCTGTGATTTTCCCGCAATCGTCCACACAGCCATCGCCAGACAAGGCGAAGTCAAGCGCATCCTGTGCATAGCAGCGCCATTCCCGCTCTGTCTGAGAAGTATTTCCGACGTCATGGCGCGCGTACAAGGCAACGTCGCAGTAGGCCCAGAGCCCCTGCTTGCATGCTTCTTCACCTTCTTTCATACACTTTCTGTCCAAGGCCTCCTGAAGAGTGGGCGCAGGGGCGCTGCAAAGTTCGCCCTTCAGTGAATCAACTTTCTTCTGCAGTTGGCTGTGGCGTGATAGGTAAGTTTCCGTTGTGCCAGCATATGCGCCGAGGCACATCTTCTTTCTGCCGCAGGTGTCCACGCAACCTGCGCGAGCTGTTTCAAAGTTAAGCGCTTCCTCTGCGTAACAGCGCCATTCTTTGCTGTTAAGGTTGTTCTTTCGTCCGTCGTATCTGGCATAGACATTTGCGCCACAGTACCGTTTCAACCCCTTCTTGCAAGCGTCCTGAGCCTCGCTTTGGCAAAACTCGTCCAGAGCATCTTGCAGTGACTGTCGGCTTGTCGTCTCAGCCAAAACCTGTAGAAGACGCAGTGCACAACACTACACTATGTTCCTTCACACGCTAGCAACAGCAGCGAAGAGAGGGGGGTATGGCGTCATAATCCCTGGGGATACTTTTTATTCAACGCTCCGCAGACCCAGATGTCGAGCAGCATTTCTCCCCAACAGTTTGGAGAGCAAACTGCCTACTAAGACTTACAGCGTCAGCAGAGAGGCCTGCGCACACAGAGGGCAATGACAGGATACGAAAAATATCAAGCTAGCTGCCAAAGCTTCAACATATTATTCCTTATTCTCTCTCAAAAGGGTGAAAGCGTGAAGAGACCTACTAAGGAAACTCCTGTCCAGGCGAACTGCTTCGGAAGCCTGAATTGTGGCCCACGCAAGGAGGCCGATGGCCGAAGGCACCTTCATTGTCGGGATACCAATGGAGTGACGATTGAGTTGGAAATTAAGGGGAGTAATAAGACTTGCTTAAGGGAAGTGAGCAGATGGCCTTTGGCTATGCGACCTCATCACTTCGATGCGACCTCGCACCGTGAGCGGGGAGCTAGCCACAACAAGAATGTTGGGGGGAAATGAAAAGGAGGAGGAAATTTGTTGGAGATTTCACTGGTTCTGTGCAATATGTAAAAAAAAGCCTTAAAACGACTCGTCACTTGTGGGGGAGCAGTGTCAACCGACTTGCTTTCGCCCGATGGTTGTAGCCAGGAAAAAATGAGGCTTTTGGTGAAGAAGACCCTTGTTTTCAAGGTATACTGTATGAGTACACCCCGATCAGAGCCTGTTTAAAAGTTGGGGAGAAAGAAGTTACTTGCTGGCTTCAGCCGTTGTGGTGGAATGCAACGGCGTTCCAAGTTCGGCGGAACAGCATCCAGCTGCGGGCGGCACCGCCAGCCTGCGACTCATCGAGCTACACGGCACACGCGCTGCTGTAACTTCTGCATCACAATAAAATATGCAAGAGCTTAAACTGTATAGAATAACAGATGGTTATGTGTAAATAGCTTTGTGTATGGAATTTACGGAGTGCAATGGGAACTGCAATTCCGCTCCTTTTTTCATGTGCTAGCCAGCTGTGTGTGTGCAGTGGAGACGTGAATCCCTGAAAGTAGTGGTTTGTCACCAAAAGCTAACCTATACAGTGAAATAATGTGTAGATATACATACACCTGCCCACCTCTCTCGGGATAGGTCGGTGAGAGCCCTCACACAGACATTTGCTCGTCGGAGGTGTTCACCAATTGTGTGCTGTGTTCGTGCGTGCTGGGACGAGATATCAGCTGCTTTGGGAGAACTCCTAAGTATATTTCCTCATTTACACTCCACAGAGGTCATCCTCGAAGACGGAGGACATTCGTTACAGGCGAACAAACTCCGAGCATATTCGCGTCGTCTGGTGCAGGCGTTACTGGTAAAGCTTGCAGCAGATGAATATGCTAGAGTCAGCAAGAGTTTGAGAGGAGGGACGAAATGTTCCCTTTACAGTTTGGGTGTGTTAGAGGAACCAAAAAACGGAGAAAATGGCTTCCTAGCCCTTCCAGTTGGTGTAGAGTAACGGAATTTCAGAACCCGTAGGCAGCATTGTCAAGAGAAAGGGTGTGGTAACCCACCCGCTGCTCTTGTTGATGGCATCTCACCTGTTTCTTCAGAGCATGCGCATAAAATATTGCTCATTTCATGCCTGAAAAGAACCTGGACAACCCATCGTCTCCATCGATTCCCTGCTGGTCCTTAACAGACTACTTCGGTCTGGAGGCCATTACTGCTACGGTCGTTTGAGATTTTACTGGTTACCTCATTGCTCGCCCTGTTCACTAATGACAGTCAAATCTATTGTGAGGAGAGGCAAAGCTTAGTACAAGCGGGTACTCGTATCGTCGAATATTATACTACCATCCCAGTGCAGAGGTGCCCTGGGGTCCGAACAGTTAGCCAGGAGGTTCTGAACCGTGAAATCAATGCTGGTTGATAGTGCATGCACAGAAACTTATAGTTTGCACTTAATCCAAAGCTCCAAAAAAGACCCGTACTATCGTAGCTGAGCCGCCACAAGGTGGCCTTCACATGCATACGGAAATGGCGGAGTTAATGATCGGCGCTGGTTCCACCTTTGAGCAACAAACCGTTTAGAAAGGAGATGCGTTCTTAACTGTATTGAGCAACGCTTCACGAGAACCAGTAGGCGTTTTTAGGTGCCCATCAGCCAGCTACCCTGCACGCAGTTATCCATAGGCGGAGCAGGTGAAGTCGCCATCAAAGCATGAGCGTGCACCAGTGTAATGCAGGTGATATACGAACATCGTGGGCAATACCGTAGTACGCCTCTATATTCCCGCTGCAATGACATAAGCTGCCGTATGAGAGTTGTTGGCCATAATATTCACTAAAATTTCCCTGCTGTCTGTAACTGAATGACTTGACTTCGCCCTACGAATGACGACGGCCAAAAATTGGATGGTCGCTGTGCGTGGTGAATGTTTCTATTGCTCAAGCTGCAGTCGGGTTACCACAGAGAGCGATCTCAAATCGTGTATAGCGCATTTCCTTGGAACTGCAGGCATGATTAGTTTGTTGCTCAGATGCACATTTGGCAACCTTTCTACATTCGAAGCGTGCTCAGCACATCTGAATTGTGTTAGCTCCTTCCGCCTTCCAACAGCTAAACACGGCTTATCCGCTATCCCCCATAGGTGCATCTCACGCAATCCGTGCCTATTACTCTGATGTACATTGTGCCTACTGTGGGTACGTTCCCGCGATTGCTCGTCAAGGTTCTTGCAGTGTCTCGTGCACAGCACTCATCAAAGGAAAACTGCTGTTCGGCTGGGAAGAGAGATTGCCCTGAACAAAACGGTTTGGATATCGCTTTCCCTCCTAATGATTCTGTCATCACAAAAAAGAAAAGTCCCGTGTGTTAGGTTTGGATGACTCTGCAGCAATTTCTTGATGAACAAGAACGTTCACCCTGACTCCTGTGCTGCTTGAAACCATGGTATTTCAAAGTTTTGCAAGAGCTTTACTTTTAGAAGGAAGCTGCTGTTGGTATGGAGGGAAAGACAAGCAGGCAGAGGTTTGGCAAGGTCCTGCAGACGGTTTCTCCAATCTAAGGTCCGTGCTAGTTACGCCGCAAAGTCAACAGGGGTGTCAATCTCCGTACACGATGAATGGTGCCTCTTGCCTTGGAGCGCAAAAGAGGGAGGTCCACGTGGGCTGTGCTGCAACACGAGCCCTCAGCTGCCCCTCCGGCACAACGTTGTACATTTTGTTTAGCGTTTTGATATCTGGTACTCCCCCAGCGAGGAACGGCACTTTCGGGTGGGGAGCCAACGGGGGCATAATCGTATTGAAGTCCTTCGTACGCATCCATTTGTCAAAGCTCTGAACGCCAGACCTCGTGAGTATAGTTATTTCGCCGGTGGTGGTTTTGGCCCAATCGATCCGGCCGATTTTGGGGTGTTCGGTAATGACGAGAGTCCGATGCCCCGCATAAACGCCCATACGAGAGCGTCCCCTTCCATACGGGCAGCTTACATTGCAACCCATTATAATAGCCGCAGATGATAGCGAGGAGACGATGCTTGAGGGGCCCTCCAGATTTATATTTGGGGTCACCTTCACGCGTACGCGTCTCAATTAATAGCCGCAGCTCCTCCGTCTTGGTTTTGCTTCTACCAACCAGTGTAGGTTCTTTTCAATTGAAAAGAATTTGCGGCGTGCTCTGTCTAGACAGAAACGATGGGGACCGCAACACGCGCCAATGCCACTCGAGACCGTTGACAGCAGATGGAGCTCTCCAAAGACGGTCTAACGCGGTGAGAAAAGCATCACACAATGCAGCACAGCATTCAAGCAAGTATTGAGATAATTTAATATTTTGGATCCATATAATACCTCTTGAAGCCAAGGAAACGTTCACGAGAAGAACGACATATACCCACAGCATCTGCGTGCTCTGGACGTGAGCAGACGTTCCGGAGCTCGCTTCCACTGGTCCTAACCAATAACTTCTGCTGAGTGATAGTAGAGAAGCTCACCGACTTAGATATGGTAAACAAGTGAGACCGGAAATCCCCTGTACGCTAGCTAAACGTGGGAGAGCTGGAAGAACTCCTGCGGTACGCTTGCCCAGCGGCAGGAGAGCCAGTGCGGATGCCCAACAGAACGTACACTCAGCTGTAGCTGTTGTCGTGAACCGTTAGAACCTCGATCCTTGTCGGCATCACTGGCGGTAATGAGACAGTGTCTAGAATAGCAGGGTTATTAAGTGCGCTGTCGGTCACGGCGTGAGCAGGAGTTCCCCCTGTGGCGTTTCAATAGGGCATTGTAGAATGCATTCGCGCTGGATGCCAGTGTTACCGGCAATACATACATAAATTCTGTCTCTTCCGCCTCTTTATAGGCAGGATCGGCTTCGTCGTCTGCCTATTCAAATTCATTGAAACTTCTGTTCCCTCCTTCCACTGTTTCCAGCGCATCTTCGTAGCTGCTTTTTTCGCAAGTTCCTAGCTTGACTATTCTGACTCTACTACAGCGCGTACCTGTCAACAGATAAGACTGAGGACTCCTGCAACACTTTGTAGCATCGGATAGTTTATCGGGGCATGAGTGACAACAAACCCAACCCGGCACAGGCGGGCGGCCTATGCCATATTAGTAGTCTGAAAAACGCGGGAAAAGAGAAAAGAGAAAACCCTCAATATCCTAAAATGTTTCTTCATGCACAATTAGGATTGGTCATAATTCCGTTCGGCGAGGCGACTCACGGCCGACCCTCTCCGAGCAGAAACAAGGTCGATTTCGCAATCCCATACGGTGAAAAAGCATTTACATAATGTAGGAAACATATTCCGATTTCCGTCGACCGAAGAGCCCAGAGCTCTAGGGAATGCCATCAGGTCAAATGGAGAAAAGTTCGAGGACTGCAGTACGTCGCATGTACCGTGGAAATATGCGAAGTACAGCTAAGTGAAAATCGAACATGACCGGCTCCAAATGCAGTATGCTGATTTCTGGGGCGCATAATAGTTCACGGGAACTACATGGATTCCCTCAGTTGCAAATAGGAAACGAGTTCGTTTTAATATAATTTTCAATTGCGTTTGACTTCTGGAGACAATCAAAAGATGTCGCTCAGAAGGCATACGTCAGTGCCCCTCATCTCACGTCGGCGAAGGCTGCGCCGTATGCTCTACCTTCTGTACGAACGTGCTCTGATTGACGTTGGTTCTTATGTCACCTGACCGCTGACTACAGTAACCTTTCGGGCCTTATATTGCCGAGTAGTGCCCACCATTAAGCCCTACTCAAGATCTGAACTTCAGGCGTAACAAATAGTATTCAAGTCGCTTCTTCATTTGTACACTATATAGGGTTGTCTACTTCCCTTGGTGTGAGGCAAGTTGCCATTGAAATCGCAGTGCGCGCTCAAGGACTTCCTGAAGGAAGAATATTCAAGTGTACTTCAGGAAAGGGCTCACTCTCAAGGTGCACTGTACTACAGAATTCGCTTTCTCGGTTGAAGACTATGGAAAGGTTGCCTTCCTGTCCCGAACCTGCTTGCACTGCATTCACAAGCCACTGCCACTGGTACGGCTGTATTAGCGGGACCAATAGTAATCGTACTAAAGCATATGAATATAGGACCAGTGGCCGCAAAGAAAAGCCCCAAGTTCCCAAAGAAATAGAGACCGATTAAAAGGATGGCCCAAAATCATTTGTGTGCCAGGCCTTATCGAACTGGCGGCTGTTCTGCAGCGCCCCGCATGGGTGCACTACGGATTTTATTGAGGGAAGAATAACCTCTCAAATTGTCATATTTTATTCCCGAAATTCCGAAAAATTAGTTGAGAACATATTCTCGCATCTACTGTCTTTTCCATTGGGCTAATAGTACGGGGACTGTAGTACACACGGGCACCAATAGAGTTCAAGCGGAGCCTTCAGGGACGTTGTTAAATGAAAAAGGACAACTACAATGCTAGTAGAGATGAATGGCAGTACTTTAGATAGAAATTTAAGCTAACCAAGTCAAGAATGATCGGCAGCTACACTGCTGGCTGTGAAACTGATGCTGCGATTGAGGCTCCGATGCGAAGTCACCAGGGAGATCTATGTTTCTCGGATTTTCCTTTAAAGATTAACTCGTATATGTTTTAAGGAAGTTTACTTGAATATTTAACTCCTAATAGTATATACAGGTTCTGATTAGAATATATATATAGGGTTTGAACCCAGTACGGTTCAGCTAAGTAATAGAAGCCTGCCGTTCGCTACAGGGACTGGCCGGCACCGCTTCTGAACCTTTCTGGCTAGCTCACGGCAGAGAATCGACTGCTCCGGGGAACCCTCAACATTTTCCCTACAGCGCTGAATATTCCTGTTATTTCCCTTTGATTACTCCCATAAATGCTATGAGGATGAAGTTCTCATCAATATGTCTCGTAGCGCCTGCGCTGGTGGCGCTCGGTGCTTGCGACGGTGGACTCGTGCAGGGTACGTAAACCTATGTGGCGCGTTGCAGTGCTTTGTGGGGTTTGTTCGTCTTTGATGTAGTTATTCCTCCTACGGATGCATAATTCTGCAACCAGATGTCAAAGGAGGTGCGTTTTTGTGCTTTTTGTGTTCAGGCGCGTCAGCTGGAGAGGTGAGGTGAACGTCATCGACTGGATTGGCCAGCGCGTGGCTCACACGATGCTTGCCCTATAGATTTTTTGCTGATGGGGGAGGTGCTTGTACTATGGTGCTTTGATACGCTGGAATAGCAGTTCCTCAGTCATCCCCACATGCTCGTACTCATGTAAAACATTGCTTTTGCCTTTGCACGCTGGCTGTCTTTCAGATCCCCCAACCTCCAAGCGTCCTCCAAAGGACCATGGATAGCGTATGCCTACAGGAATTTTCTCGTGCCTGCCTACAAAATCCTCACTTCTGCGTCGGTGCGGTGGCCCGCCGCGATGTTGGCAATACTGCTGCTGACGGGGAGGCCTGGCGATGCTATTCAGTCGAGGAGTTAGACTTTTCTCTGACGAAGAGGACCTGTGTGGACGACTGTGGCGAGCTCATTGAGTGCCAGGGAGGTGTCAAGGATACATCACTGGAGCATCTCAGTGCAACGGACAAGCTTGAGGGCCGGCTTCAGGAAGCCCAGGAAGGGATGTGCAAAATTCATGTACGTTACACACACGTTTTACTTCAGCCCAACACAGGGGAGACGATAGAAATAAGAGTACTGACCTTTTAATTTGTATGCATTCACTGCTTATACAAGTGCGGTGGAACTGGTTCCTATGGTCCATATTGGTGTGTAACGGGTAACAAGCGTCGAATAGCAGCGCAGCTTTCTCGTGTATGCGTGGTTTGTGTATTCTTGCGTGCTTGTATGCGTTTCTGCATGCTTGTGTTTGCTGTGTATGTGTGTGTGTATGTGTGTGTGTGTGTGTGTGTGTGTGCTTGTGTGTGTGTGTGTGTACCAGAAGGCGGCAACTTCCAGTTAAAGTGCCTGCCTTGTTGGAAAGCGCAGTGTTTGCCATTGTGAGATGATCTCACGTCAGAGGAACAGTGGCTCTGCAGTCTGTCCACATCGGCGGAGTATGCAAATTTCCGATGACCTGGTTTGGAGGACAGAAACAGAAAATGACAGCCAATGATGCTTTTTGTGTTGCACCTCGCAACCTGTGCCTTTAACTGTGTACGCCTATTGCCTCCTTAGCGGAGTGAACTCTGCTATGCAGGCAATATGATCTATGGGGGTTGATGGCTTGTTTCCTAATCACATTATTTTTGTGATGGGGAAGCAAAGCATCAAACCGCCATAGCTACCTATCAGGGTTCTACAGGCGCACCCTTTTGGTATCTAGCAAACTTACGAACAGTAACGGGACAGTGGGCACACGATTGAGCTCCCTAGTACTACATAGAGTTCGGAGATAGCATTTAAACAATATTCCGTCTCTGTAGAAATGACCATTAGCGTGGCCTATGTAGCCCAGCAATTTAACGGTTTAGAGGATAGTATGTCTCTGCAGTGCATAGACTGAACGACCTAAGTTACGAGTACTTTACTCCAGTGATGAACGACATTCTAGACTTCTACTGCGGCCTTTGATTTGAAATTTCGACTCTTTGGCGGTGACGGCTTCGCATTTAACAGGGATACCGAGGCCATTAGGACAATAGGTGCAGACAAACGAAATCGTTCAGCAAGTAGCATCGTTCGTGGGAAGAGGGCGCAGCTATATCTCATCGCATGCAGGCTAGCTGTTGCCTTTTGTATTAGTGCATCCAGCAAATGTAGCTTGGTTGCGCATGCATACGAGGTTGCCTCTTAGCAGCTAGTTGCGGCAGCTCATGACGCCTGCTCTACCCCTGCCCTTGGGCCGCCTGCCTCAGGCCTCCTTGGTGCTGAAACTGGGGTCAGACGCTTCCTGGAAACTCTTATATTGAATATTTTGACTAAATTGCAGCTCGCTACGGTCCTCGCATATGATCAAGGACCCTCGTTCCACTACCCTACATCCTGCAACACTTTTTGCAAGAGAGCTCTACCTGCAAGCGTACCCAAGCTAGCCCTTGATGCATGCATTAACACGTTATCCAAGTGCTTAACACTTATTTGGCCTTCAGTAGCTAACATGCACACAAGTAGAATTACACGTACAAACTTCACGCAGAAATGCCACGCTTTCAACCCACACACTGCTGCGCAACCAGGCGCACACGCGGAGGATACCCCCAATATCCAGGTAAATATAAACTCAAATGAACTGAAAATAAGCGGGTAGCAGCCTCGCTGGTTTCTGTCTCGTTCACAGTTGGCGTTCTGGGCCTGCTGCTCCGACAGAGGAGCCTTAGGGGATACGCCAGGCGGCTAGCATGCAGCGTCTCGTGCTTGGCGAGCGGCTTCCGTGCACGAAGGAGAGTACAGACAACTTTGCAAGATGAATACTCTGTCCTTTTTATTCTTCTCTGTGAATTTACGTCTTGTTGACCTCTGGACTGAGGCTTCTTTGGCTCATTGTCTGCAGTGGCAAGGACAGGGCGGACGACACGCGAGGCCCTCGTAGACAGAGGGTGTTCTTTCGTCCCCCGTTGTTACCACACGCACATTTTTATCCAGTGCTGTTGCTTAAAAATGAAAAAGACAATAAAGCTGCTGCTATGGGCGGTCGCAGGGATATTGGGGGGTGGAACCTCTTTGGCCTCCTGTCGGGGGTCCAACGCCCCCCCTGCTGCATTTATGACCCCCCAGGGCTCCTACTTTTCCGCTTTCTTTCCCGGTAAAGTGGATGCATCGGGTGTACGTACACACCAACATGCAGCACTCCATATTGCAAATCCGCGCACATCCCAGGACCCCAAGTCGTCGGTGCAACCAGCTGCGTTGGATCGTGTCTCGGAGGTTCCTTCTCTCGCCTCCGCTGTCACTGCCTTTCAGTTGGCTGCACACAACCCTCGAGTATCTGGCGCTCAGAGCAGCGCTGCTGTTTCAGGCGGAACTGCAGCACAAGCAGCTCGCCAAGTAGCTGCAGATACGTCGCAAGATAACAGCACGTCTTCCATATTCCACGAGGACGGCCTGGGTGGCCTTGTGCGTGGCAGCGTTCGGGGGAACCTGCGAAATAGACGGGAGAACGTGTCGCCCGTAGTGGCACAGATGCTGTATGAGGATATGTTGCTTGGCCGTTACGTAGAGGACGCATGCGCTCGGCTGTACTACCGGGGGAAGACTGCAGGGTTCGTTCACCTATACACTGGACAGGAGGCTGTGAGCAGCGGTGTGCTTAAGTTGCTGCGCAAAGACGATGCAGTTGCATCCACCTACAGAGATCACGTGCATGCAACCAGCAAGGGAGTGCCAGCCCGTGAGGTCTTTGCAGAGCTCTTCGGTAAGCAGACAGGTTGCTCCAAGGGTTTCGGCGGCTCTATGCACATGTTTTCCAAAGAGTGGAATCTCTATGGAGGATTCGCATTCATAGGAGAACAGATACCTGTGGCACTCGGGGTCGCCTTCAGCCAGCTGTACAGACGCCTCGCCGAGCGCCAGCTACCAGGAGAGAAGGACCAGGTTGGTCATTTACTAATTATGAATGCTTCTCTCTATATAGGCTTCTGTGGTGGCTACCTAGTCTTTCAGTTCTTCAAGTTAAGGCGATGCAGTATCAGCCCCCTGTACATGATCTATACAGGCCATCGTATCCGAGGGCTGCAGCATACCTGCATGCAGGCGTTAAGGGGTGAAGGGTTGTACCAGTTGCATGGGTGCATGCATGCATGAGTTTTGGGGCCGCAGCTGTTGGCTCAGAGAAGGATTTGTGGGCGTGTGCTGTTCTGTTTTCTCCGCTGCAGGTTACCGTCTGCTTTATGGGAGACGGGACCACCAACATGGGGCAATTCTATGAAGCTATGAACATGGCGGCGCTTATGAAGCTGCCCGTGATCTTCGTCGTAGAGAACAACAATTGGTAGATAACACATTTGCAGCCCCATTCTCCGTGATATATATATATATATATATATATATATATATATATATATATATATATATATATATGCAGACACACACACACAGACACACACACACAGACACACACACAGACACACACACACACACATACAGACACACACACACACACATACACACACACACATACAGACACACACACACACACACACACGCACACGCACACGCACACACACACTCTTGCGAGCACTGTATCTGATGCGCAGCAGTGCATCCTTCGTGTATTCGACAGAGCACGGCTGCGCTCTTTAGTTCTGTTTGGGGCGCTATGTTGTGGCTGGGTTCTGCATCTCCTGCAGGGCCATAGGCATGGCTGCGCAGCGTAGCACGGCGGTGCAGGAGATTCACCAGCGGGGGCCCCCCTTCGGCGTCCCCAGTATTGAGGTCGACGGCATGGACGTCCTGGCTGTGCGTGCAGCTGCACGCCAAGCCATAGATAGAGCTCGAAGGGGGGAGGGACCATCCCTCATAGAAGCTCTTACGTACAGATTCAGGTACGTGAGCAACATTTCCAGGTGGCCAGCTAGTGAACCCGCTTTCTGCTGCTTATAGTCTAGGGCTTAGGGTTTAGCGTTTCGGGTGCCGTGGCTGTTTCAGAGGCCATTCGTTGGCAGACCCCGACGAGCTCCGCTGCACCCACGAGAAGGCGGCATTTGCAGTAAGGGATCCAATAAAGCACTTTGAGCAGTACATGCTGGAGATGGGATACGCCAACGAAGAAACTCTGGAACTGACACGCAAAAAGGTAAGCAGAAGCTATTCGCCTCCCCTCAGCTGTGTATACACTGCAGGAGGGGAGAGCAGAGGCGAAGCAGGCGGTAGCTTTCTAGTATAGACTCTGCGCGAACTCCCAGTATGCACACGAAGTGGTGAAAGCTCACAGACATACGTGCCTCCGCTTGTTTGTCGCGTTTTCAGAAATGTGAACTATGTGTAAATATATGTAAATTATAAGTGAAACGAATGTGCAATTCATATTTTCAGAAATATGAAATGCGTATTCGTTTTACTTATAATTTATACAAGTGTATGCAACAGAAGTAAATATTTGCCTGACTCATACATTTTGTGTCTGTGTCTTTAGTTGTTACTAGTATTAATGTAGGATGTTTGCCGCTGCAACTTGGCTTCCCGGTCTTGCGTTGTATACCCCTCCAGCGTGTTCTACATTGGGGGGGTACTGCTTGCAGTGCATGCAGTAGTGAATATTTCGGCTTGTTTTCTCTGGGTTGCAGATGCGAGAAATCGTGGATGAAGCCGTGGAGTTCGCAGACAATTCTCCTGCACCGGACCCTACAACTGCCGGTGACACAACGTTTGCCCCGGCCTACGAGGCCAAAGGCTTCGATCCTTTAACTGATGAGGAGCTGGCGGCGTATGCGCAAGCCCTGAAGTTAGAGTTGGATCGGGAGGCGCGTAAGGCGAAGGGAGAGCGTGTGGTGCCGCCTCCAGTTGAAAATGATCCCAACCCCCCCATTGTCATCGACTAAGGGAACTCCACACAATGAAGGCTGCCAGCAGCGCCCACTGACCGTTGGCTGTTGTGCAGCTCACCCTCGCTTCTTCACCGTTGCCCTTAAGGGCTCACTGCTGGCGTTCTTTCTGATAGAAAACGACGCAAGGGGCGGGTTCAACTGTGGAGTCCACAATGCAGGAGCGCTTGGAGATCACAACTGGGCAGGATGCTGCAGCAGCAGCTGTCCAGTGTCTTAGGAAGTTTCTGGTCTGGAGCTCCGTCTGCCTTTGCAGATTATGCCGTTTGTTGTGTTAGTTACTGCATGCGGATTGCTGCTTCCATTCGTGCTGCCGCAACAGAAGACCGGGCTCCAAGGTGCCGGCAGCTCTGGCACCTGTAGGAGTTGGCCGTCCGTGCCAAGGGCGCCACCAGCCGCCTGCCTGCCTCCTGCGCAGCCATCTTAGATCGTGCTGCAGTGTACTTACATGAAATAGGAGCCAGAATCACCAGCGCAGCAATAACCAGCGCCGCACCAAGCTTGTGGGGAAGTGGCAGAGGCACCCACGTCAGCCGATCTGTGGTCGTGTGTAAGGCCTTCAGGGCGGATGTGGACGGAAGGCGGGAGAAGTCTTCACCTGCCCGCGCCCAGGCCACTTCTCCATATTTTAGCATTTTTAAGCAAAATGATATTTTAAAGCTATTTGAAAAACACCAACGTCAGTGCCCGTGAGAAACTGACAGGCAGAGCGCTCCCGCACCCTCCCACCCTCGCTGGCTACGAGAACGACAGCAAACCACCCTGTAGTTGCAGCGTTGTCGTAGTGTGTGTAGCGGACTCGTGTCGCGTGACTGGAAGGGGACAGACACTCTGCAGAAAGCAACGGAATATGACGGCTTACTTTTGACTTGGTCATTCTATCGCGTTTGTACCATACAATTCCAGAAACACTGGTTGGGGGGAGGGCGGGGTAGGGAATTGAATTGGAGTAGCAGCGCTCACACGGGGTTCACTGTGCTAAACTGAGCACGGTCACCACCACAGCAGCTAGTTGCAACTGCCCAAGCGGACTGGGCAGCTTCCTGAGTGCGCAAAACAGGACTACTGTGGCTATCTAGCTGTTACTAGCAGGTAGAGCTCTGATCGTACAGTGGGAGATAGTCGGCATCCCGTCCGAAAAGAATCGCCTCTGTGTTTCGTTGCCCGGTGCGAGCCACACTAATGTATTGAGGCTAAGGCCCTCGTCTTGCTGCTTTGTGTTGTGCTGCCTATATTCCCCTGCATCTAAAAATGTATATCGGTGAGTTCAGTCGTTAGTCGTAGCCGGCCTTCTGCAAACAGAAAATCCTAGTTCCTCCTCTCTCCTAACACTCAGGGTTGCAGCAGGGGGAGCGCAGGTACTATGTGCCCACCATACCACCTGTAAAAGCTAGTAGCAGGTGTTTGCTGGTCTAGGGAGAGTAAACGCGGGATCTTCACACCAGAAAACACCCACAGTGCGCCTGCTCCTTGACCTGAAGGAAGAGCTCTAGATAACAACGCAGGAAGGGAAGCCGAAACCCACCATAAGGAGGTACAGCCGGGGTTGTGTCTCGACGTCGTATGTAGAAAGCGATGCGTGCGCTTCGCCCCTCGACACCAGGAAGGTTTGGTCATGGGGAATATCCTATTTCAAGTTGCAGGTCGTCGATTGGTTTCGTCTGCATATATCTCGTGCGCAAGCGCAAGCGGCAGTGTAAACAGGAGCCTGTCCTGTAGAGGGGTGGCCGCGAGCACCCATTCAGCCGCATTTTCCAGCGTTGGGATTTTGATTACAAAGTCATTAAAAAATATTGTCGATGACTGTACTCGAAGGCTCTCGATGCATTGAAGACTTCGGCCACAAGAGCACCTGCGCTTGGTGACTGTGCCGACTGCTAGCATTCAGTGCAGTTAACGGTGCACGAGCTGAGCATCCAGGTTTGCCGTTAAGCGGCTTGTGAGTCATTTAGCCTCCAGTTGTTCCTTCTCATCTTTGATTAAGATTGAGATTCCTCCTTCTATAGTTCAATAGATGAGCTGAGCTCAGGAGAGTGTGTGTGCCCGTGGTGGGGCCCTCCGCATCCATTGACTTGCATGACAGGCACGCGGCGTTTCTTTGGTGGAAACTTTTGGGAATTACTCTGGCGTTTCGCGGAAAACACCAAAATTCTTTTGTTTTTGCTCATCAGGGTTCAATAAGTCAACAGACGGGCCAGAGTGGAAGAGTTCGTGGGCGCATTCAAGTTCAGTGCACTCTTCGACTGTGGGCGCCCAGTGGGCAGACTGGCATATGCTTCCTTCGCTGTTCCCCAGCAACTTGAAGTGCTGCCGAGGTAAACGTCCCAACTGCGTCGCTGTGTCACAGGCAGGAGTTTCTGCAAAGCGACTCGCGCAGGAAACGGGAGAGGAGTGCTTGGCTTCTTCTCTAGCTGACGGCGAGGCTGATGGCAGTGTCGCAGCAGGTGGGAGATCATCCAATTCTGCTTTAGGAATCAAACCGTCTATCAGCGGCTGCAGTCACTCAGGTCTGACTGCCGCTAAACAGCGGCACGTCGGCGATTCCGCTGTGTTTCAGACCACGTGCAGCAGCAGCAGCAGCAGCAGCAGCAACAGTAGCGCTAGCACATCCTGCAGCTCTCCGCCCGTGGTGCACAACTGCACGCTTGCGTTGAAAGCCTTACAGATATCACGAGCACGCCGTCTCGCAAAGATGGATGGGTCGAAGCAATCCCAGCGGACTGCGGAGGAGGTGGAGCTGGCACTGGAGGTGCTGAACGACGAGCTGGCCGGGGCCTCCCCGTTGGACCGCCCGTCACTTGAACTCGCAACGCAGGCGTTGACAGATCGTCTTTTAGAACTGCGGAAACAACAGAGGGGAACCGGAAACCCTCCTGAGACGGGAGAAGTAAGCAAGCAGAGCACCCATGAGTACTCGTCCTCCCTTCAGGCCGTCGTCTTGGGCGACGGCAAACAGAAGTACACTCTGATCAAAATACCGAAGCAAGACGATATGCATGGCGACATTTACCTTGTACGTGGAGACCCCAAGGCGGAGTACCACTACCAAACGGCAATAGACACACTGAATGCTCTCCAGTCGAGGAACATCTTGTCAGGTAGGCTGTCTCTTCGTATTCATCTAATCTGTTTATATTCATTTCCTGAACTTGTGAATATCCCTACTGACGCTGGTGTTTATTGTTGCTCCGTATCGGACAGTTAGCAACATCATGCAATCTACTGCGTTCACCTTATTGCTGAGATGGGGGCACATGTGCTGGGTGTGATCGGTTTGCCGAGGAGTGAGTTGTTCAACTGCATACAAGCATGCATGCTTACATGCAAGTGCGTTTCAATGCATGCAAGTCGATCGTAGTTCCGCTTTTATGAGGTCTATGACGGCCAGCTAGTCAGCATCGGGCAGTTGCTGCTGATGAGTGCATGCAGACGTCACGGGTGGAGGCCGCATGGATGTATTACGGGCTGAGAAGAAGGTGGAGATCTACGGCTATTCGTATCAGTACGGGGCGGCTGACCATTCGATCACGGCAAAGATGGTTAAGGAGTACTTGGGCGACGAGTTCATCGTCTCGTTTGGCAACTACGGCTATTAGTTCTCTTAGAAACCAACCCAGCAGCGTTCCAGCTACTCGAATAAGGCAGCAGCACAGCACCCACACCATATTGTTGCATGCATGCGCAGTGGACGCAGCAGGAGCCCAAGCGACTGCCGTGGTGACTGGGGCTGTGTTCAGCGCGCACACTTTTCACCACACAGGTGCATGGACCAGACGCGCTTGTCTGCCCCAGCATCTCCTTTTTTAAGTACAAGCAGCGGGAGAACAGCCACCAGTTCAAATGCGTGCCAGACAGACAGGCGACAGATTAGAAATGAGTTGTACTAATTACTGCAACGACGCCAGGTGGCACACACGAGGAACGGATGTGGCAGTACTGCAGCAGTGGAAGTTTTAAACGTCTCAAGAATGAAGTACCGACCAAAGTGAACACATCTAGTGAAGCGTTGGTCAGCGGATACCCTTGGAAATGCTTTAGCGATGTGACCAGACATCTGTTGATGCATGAGCTGCTGACAACGCAAGGCCTTGTTCACCTAGTTCAGACAGAAACAAATCAACTTGCCGTATGACACATCGCAGTTAGCCACGGCATTCGTGCTGTGGCTCGCATGACACGTGCCAGCAGATGCAGCAGCTTCCTTGTTTAATTCGATTTGCACGCATTCCAATGCGGCAGAAGCGCGACGCACCGGCGTCATCCAACTCGCGATTCCGTTCTCGGTATCAGGTTCCTTCTGTTCGGTAGTTGGAACGGACGAGAACAACTCGTTACTTTGGGGGTAGTTGCAACTCGAATGGGGTGTCTAGGGGTGCCGGAGTGAAAGCGGTAGTCGACGACAGTGCACAACATCCTCGTTGACGATGTAACTTCGTCTAAATTAAGAAATAATATTAATAATGCGTCTTTGGTATTCTTTTTCCGTCCTCGGCGTGGGTTTGCATGTGCGGCTACACGTAGTTTCATCTTTGAACGACGCGCGCTTTCCGGCTCGTTTTCACCAAGTACAGCTGTTTTAATTCTTGCTTCCTTTTTGTCGGGAAACGTCGAACATGAAATTGTATCAGGCTTTGGCATATCCTCGATTTGAACAGCCTCGTCAGGTTCCAGAGGAAGAGGAGCTCGAAAGCGAAATCGATCATGTAGAAGAAAGCGTGCATGCATTAAAGGAAAGGCAGGAATCTGCAATCCAGTGAGGGAAAGCAAACTGCCTAGCTATCAAACACGCCATTCATGCATCCACCTTTTGGCGAAGGGCTTCTGCTGCCTCTGCGGGGCACAGAACTGAGAAACTCGCCGAGAGTTTCCAAGAGGCCAGGCGCCGCCGCAAAGAACAGCAGGAAAAGAAGAATGCAGCAGCTGTAGCGGCTGCAGCGGGAGCTTCTGCTGCTGCGAAGAAGCATCCTGTGCAGTTACCTGCGGCAGAGAGGCCTCGCACTGAAAACAAACCCATTGAATGTCTGCCAGAATCCGAAGCAAAAATCGCGGAAGTTCCGCCCGAGGTAAAGCTGTTCGCAATTTAACCTTTCCGAGAAAATACGATTCTCAAGGGGGGGCCATGTGGTTGAATTCTTGTAGGAGGTGTTAGAGGCCGAACGGACGCCTGAAGCAGCGCCCAAAGGCGAAATAGAAATGTAAGCGGATGAGTACAGGCGCGTTGAATTCTACGACATTTGGCGTTTATGACTGTTGAAAATAACTTCCTCTGCAGACTGGAGAGGAAGCTTGAACGGTAACGAGGTGACAGGCCTAAACAGAGAATGCAAGAAGAATTTGTTTGCCATGCAGATTGGCACCAGCCGAGCATGCACCAGCAGAGGCCGAAATCCCGAGCGTCATATCTCCCCAGCCCGTGAAGGTAGCGACACAGGAAGAAGTTCAAAGAGATGTGCTCGCCGCTGAGGCCGAGGTGAGCCAGGTGGAGAACCAGCAACAAGAAGAAACAGACAAAGAGATCAAGGAGGAGATGCAGCAGCTGCTGGAGGAGCACGAACACGCCCATGCGGCAGCTGCTGCAGCTTCTGCTGAACAGGAAGCAGCAGCAGAAAAAGCAGCAACCAGCGCATTAGAAGCTGAACGAGAGGTCCAGGAGGCCACGTCAACTACAGGCGCACAGCAAAGCTCAGCCGGCTCGCACACCGAAGGCCAGGAAGCCGCTGCAGCAACAAACACAGAACGCGCAGCTACGGCGGCCCCCAAGCACGGCACCACCAATAAGTCAGGTGCAGCAGAAGGGGCAGATGTAGCGGCAACCCCAGTAGAAGCTGACGACGAAAATGAGACAGAAGAAGAAGAGGAGGGTGACACAACAGAACAGGACGAGCGGGACTCTATTAGAAACGCAAAGGAGAACGAAGCAAACCATCAAAGGCATGCAGACAAGAATAAACCCAAAGGAGATGCAGCAAAAAGCAGGGAGAGGGAAAACGCTGAGAGAACAGTCGGCGGTGCAGTTCAACAGGGACGCAAACCCCCGGTTTAGAATTCCATTTGAGCAGAAGGGCAATCAGACCAGTTTGTGGAGCAGCACAAAGATTTCAATATGCTGCTGCTGCTGCTGCAGTAGCCGCAGCAGCAGCTCCAGTTGCATCGGCAGCCGCAGCAGAGGAGCGTTTGTTTCCTTTCAGTAACAATTCCACTTATCAGTTACTGTTCTGCTCCAGTGTATCTAAGCTCCGTGAAGTTTGCTATTCTGAAACAAATATTTATCTTCTCGTTAACAACAAAGCATAAACGTGTTGTTGTTGTTAACAACAAAAACAAGTACTTGTGGTATTAAAAACAATGAGAAAGCTGTCGTCTTCGTATATGCATGGCTCTTGTTCTTTTTACTGCGTTATTTCTGAGCAACCACCCCTCCATGACTACTCGCTGTGTATCTTCTTCTCGTCTGTCTGTTTCTGTCTGGGTCCCCGCTGTCTGTCTGCCTGTCTGTCTCTCTGTCTGTCTGTCTTTCTGCCCGTTTGCTGTTACGCATTGGCTCTGCTGTCGCTGTTGTTGCCCCTCGCACTGGCGGTGCGTTGCAGTATCTGTTCACCCCATCAGCGTTGCTGCGAGAGTGGCCCTACTGTGTGGTATGCACGACTATAACAACAACAAATGAAACATTCATGTAGTTGGGAGTAAGCAGAAAAGAGAGAGAAAGGATTAGGGTTAATTCATGACAACACAATCTTAGGAAGTCAGCTGCACATGAATCCATAAATTGCAAGCAGGCTTCCATACACCTGATGCATGCATGCCTCAACAGCTGGCATGCATGCATGCGTCCACAGCTTGCATGCATGCATGCATAGGTTGCCTGACTACAGGCACAGGTTGCATGCATGCATGCCAAACCCAGCAGCACACGAAACACACAGATCCTCGTCTACCAGCACCCGGCACATGTTGGGCTGGGCCTTCTTTAAAAATTCCGTTGTAGCGAGGCAGCCCTCATCATCAATGTCTACATATCTTCTCTTCTTTCTGCTTTGCATGCGCCTACAGCCAGCAGTCACTGTTGCAGTTGGGCTGCCGCAGCCTCTTTCCGCCTACGGCCCTTCCCGAATACCCTGGGTATTCCACACAAACACCAAATGCACAAAGACAAATCAAAATACACCCCCCCCAGAACAGAACAAAACAGAACGGCACAGCAGCTGCATGTACAACCAGCAGCAGCAGGTTCAGCAGCAGCAGCAGCAGCGCAACGAGAGAAGCAGCCACCTTCTGCATTGATAATCATGAGCCTCGGATCTTGCTCCGCCCACAAGCACTGTTTCTTCGTAGCGAATGCATGCAGAACGCAGAAACACCAATATCACCCGCCTGCGATTTGGTGACACAATAAATAAATAGTAATTTACCTTCGTTGGTGGGGATCGAACCCGCGACCTTCTGAGCCGAAGATAGCCCAAAGAGGCGACGGCACCGAGTAATCAAGGCCAGTGAAATCTGCATTCCCGCTTAGGGCCTGCAGCAGAACAAAGATCTACAGAAGCAGCAACATGCGTGTGGTATGCCGAGATGCAGCTACGCGGCCTGAGATGAATGCATGCATGCATGCTTTCACATGCCCACAATACTTGTCTAAGTCTTTAGAGATAGTCTAGAACGTACAAGTTCAAAAAACTTGGGGTAGTCAATCCACGTGTGCCACTGGCCGTCGCGGCAGTACCTGCGAAGCATGCATGCATGCATTGCTGCAGCGTGAGAGGGTGAAGCAGCAGCAAGTGGTGCTACTGCAGCGCATGCGATGGTAACGATGCAAATAAATAATTCAAGCGGACAGACAAACACACAAAAAGAAGATAAAAACGCACTGCAGCAATGCTACTTACTTCGTCTGCGCCAGTAACACACAACATGAATGCTCGTGCTCTGAGGCAAGCCCATATCTTCCCTCTGGCAGCGCCTTAAGCAGCGCCCTAGCAAACCATAGCACCTGTCACAGCAGCACAGAGAGTAAATCCCTTTATATTATATATATAATATATATAATACGTGCTTATAAACCCTCATAATACACCTACATACAGCTTGTATCTGGGATCGTGTTGGTGGACTTGAGTTTGCGTTTATACCTGTTGGTGTCTTGGTACGTTTTTCATGGATAGAGAATCTTTATCGAGGCCGCCACAGAACGTCATGCCTTTTATTTCAATAAAGTCAGGCTCCCCCCGCAGCACCAGGGCGGCGTAGCCCTCAAGAGTGCTTGTCACTTCCCCTGTAGCCTTCCTGCGGCTTGCGATGCTGCTGCTGCTACTGCTGCTGTTGACGGTGTTGCTGGGGGTGCTGATGGTGTCGGTGGTGCTGATGCTCCCGGTGCCGTTGCTGCAGCTGCTGGTGGCGGTCCCACTACTGCTGCTGCAGCCGTTGCTGGTGGCGGTGCTCCCGTTGCTGCTGTTGCTGCTGTTGCTGTCGGTGCTGAGAGGAGCAGTGTTGTCCCCCTCTTCTGTCGCAGGCTGCAGGAGGCAGTTGTAGCCGTGCACAAGGGTAAGGCGGAAGACGGTTCTTTGCTTTTTCGTCTTCAAGATGTCTATACACCTCAGAAAACGAGACCAGTAATCCCGGTGCACTGGCTTGTCTGCACACATCCCAACCCCACACCACACATCAACACGCAAATGCCTAGAGCTGCATGCAGCAGCAGCAGCAGCAGTAGGAGCAGCAGGACGTGTCACAACAAAGGCACTCCCCTCAGCGTAGTCCGCTCAAGCCCCTGCAGCTGCTGCAGCCGATGCAAAAGCAGCTGCCGCGGAAGACGGAAGGGGTAAATAAATACAAAAAGAAACAAAAAAGACGAGAAAGACACACAGACAACAGGAAGAGAACCACTTGATACAGCACAGCTAGCAGCAGCAGCGAAAAGACAAAGACAACAGAGAGACAAGCAAGCAGAGATAGAAAGAGATACATGCAGAGAGACTAAACCAGCACCAGAAATAAAGAGAGCCAAGGCCGCAGACAGCAAAGCAAAGACAGAAGGGCAGAACGATGTACAGAGAGGGAGACAAGCAACTAAAGACAGAAAGAGAAAAGTACGAAAAGATAGAAACTGTCTTGCCTAGCCGTTTCAGGTCTCCCTCTGTCGCTGCATCAATCGACAGATATAGCTGCGTCACGGGGCCCAAGGCCTCAAGCGCCGCGGGGTGTTGTGCGTTGGTTACCTGAAGAACAGAAGGAAACAGCTGCGCATACACCTCATGGACTCCTCATATGGAGCTTGCAGCAGCAGCCGCAGCAGCAACACGCGGGTAAAGGGCACCACGACTGCGCCTGTGCGCTGCAACAGCAACCACCAGCAGCAGCAACAGGAGCAGCAGCAACAGCACCAGAAGCAACCTGCAGCAACAGCAGCAGTAGAAGCAGGATCAGGCATAGCAGCAGGAGCGGCAGCTGCAGCAGCAACAGCAGCAGGAGCAGCCGCAGGAGGAGTGTGAAGCTAACAAGGAAAGAGGATATACGCTGCTGATGCATCAGCTGCAGCAACTCATTGATGCGAGGATACATGATGGGCTCCCCAACCAACGAAAGGGCGCAGTGCAACACGCGGCCGTCGACCTCATCAAAGAAATCACGACGTAAGCCAGGGAGACCTGAGCACAAAAGCTAACAGATAATAACAGCAGCTGCAGCAGCGGCAGCCAGCAGCAGCACCAACCAGCAGCAGCAGCTGCACCAGCAGAAGAAGCCTGTGCATCAGCATCGGCAGCATGAGTAAAAGAAGCAACAGCGTGCGCGCCAACAGAAGCAGCCAGCAGCAGCAGCGTGTGCAACAGCAGCAGCAACATGTGCAACAGGAGCAGCAGCTCGTGCATCAGTAGCAGCAGCATGCGCAGCACCAGCATCTGGAGCGTGTATATACCTCTGAGTTCCTTGATGGCGGTGAGGTGTCTGTACACCGCCTCAGCGAGTATATCTTTGGGTTCATCTGTTTTCCATTGCCAGTCACCAGCAGCTAAATTTGTGTGATGTCTCCAGCAAAAAAGGCAGCGATTGGCGCATGCAACAGAAGCAGTGAACTCCATACATCCATAAGACTTAATACCATAAAAAGTGTGTTTATAACAACCCCCCCTCCCCCTCAATGCTGCTCGCGTCCATCTACATATCTTCACTGCCGAGTGAGTACCCACAAGCTTATAACCCTCTTTAGTTAAATTACGCCGCAAACGAGATGTCAGCTGCTCGGGCAAAGCAGCAACCCCTGCGGCTGCTGCTGCGCCTGCTGCTGGCTTCGTTGTTGCTGCTGCTGCTGCTGCTGAGGACGAGGAGAGGGGGCTAGAAGCTGAGTCACCCCCAAGGTCCTCCAGGTCTGACGCCCCATCCCCGCAGCCGCCTACATACTTTTTCTGCTGCTGCTGCTGTTCCTCGTCTGTGCTGCTGTAGCTGAAGTCGCTTAGGTCACTCGAAGCCTCCTCTTCACTGGAGTCGCCTGCTGCTGCTGCTGCTGCTGCTGCTGCTGCCGCTGCTGCCTGCTGCTTGTGCAGCGCAAGCTGCAGCGCACGGTCTACCCATTGGCAGTATTTGCTGGCTGTTGTTGCCGGCGAAGCACTGGCGCACAGGGTAAGCGAGAACAGTTGCGGTTGCTGCTGCTGCTGTTGCTGTTGCTGCTGTTGCTGTTGCTGCTGCTGCTGCAGAGATGTTGCTCCCAAGCGAGTCAGTGTCCCTGCTAGCTTCTTGATTAGTCTGCTGGTTTTGCTGCTGAAGCTGTTCCCGTTCACTGCTGTTCGAGAGGTGCCACTAACGCCTGCACATTCGGCCTGCTGCTGCTGCTGCTGCTGCTTCCGCTGCTGCTGCTGCTGCTTCTGCTGCTGCTGCTGCTGCGGCTCACGGTGCGAAGTAGTTTGCTGCACCGGTTGCCTATGACGCTTCTTGGCTCCCTCTGCTGTTGTTGCTGCTGCTGCTGCCGTTGCTGTATCGCAGCAAACAAGAGAGAGAGCGCATCGCCGTAGGGGGCGGCGGGAGATTCTTCTGTCTGTGAGCGCCTCTGCAGCTTCAGCAGCAAGTGCAGCAGCAGACCCAACAAGCCGGCCGTCTGATGCCTCTACAAAGAGAAATACACACACCTCCTGCGTGCTGCTGCTACTGCTGCTACTGAGGCCTTCGCATACATCAAGCAGGTCCTCCAGGGGAGAAGAGCTCAGCGCCTGTGGCGCTGGTGCAGCTGCTGCAACTGCTGCAGCAGCTGCTGCTGTAGGCGATTGCTGGTGCTGTGAGGAGCACTCTGAAACAGATCTCCCTGTTGAGCAGCAGCTGCTGCTGCTGCTCCCCGCGAGCAGACCTTCCACAATCAGCGAAGCTGTATCCTGACGCTGCTCTCGCTGCCGACGCAGTTGCTGCTGCTGCTGCTGCTGCTGCTGCTCTAGCTGCTGCTCCTGCAGCTGTTGCTTCAGTGCCCCTTGCAGCTGCTGAGAGAATAGCAGCGCGAGACCTTCAGACAGCCGACCGTGAGGGTCGTACCAAACCCTATACTCTATGCTGCTGCTGCTACCGGTGCTGCTGCTGTTGCTGCTGTTGCTGTTTCTGTTGCCACCATGTTTATCAATGCTCTCATGTACTACATCTCTGCAGCTGCAACAGCTACTGCCTCTATCGTCTGGCACCTGTAGAGCGCTGGAGCAGGAGTTGCTGCCACTGCCACTGCTGCTGTTGCTGACGTTGCTGCCCGCAGCCGGTGCCCAGCTGCAGCACAATCCGTCGCCGCTCCCGCATGCACAGGAGCCATCGTAGGGGGCCTCTGAAGGAGGGACTGAAGCAGCAACTGCTACTGCTGCTGCTGCCGTTGCCGCCGGTGCTGCTGCTGGCCCTCGAGCATGTCTCTCCAGGACCCTGAGGATCTCATCGTTGAGTCTGAGAAAAGAAAACATAATGTGAACTGCAGCAGCGGCAACGAGGGAGGCAGAGGCAGCAGAGCTGCAGTGACACCCAACGCAGTCTCGCGATACTGCCGCTGCTGCTGCTGCTACGCAGAGGGCGCGCTGCTGCCGCTGCTGCCTCCACGTGCTGCTGCTCTGCCAGGTGCAGCAGACAGCAATTTAAGCAAAATAAATAATAATATGTATCCTAGCATCCCCCGCATTCGCAGCAGAAGGAAGACTGTGGGGCCCAGCATCGGCAGCAGCCGCAGCCCCGATACGTGCCTCAAACAAAGCCACCGCCGCCGCCGCAGCAGCAAAGGCAGCAGCAAAGGCAGCAGCAGGAGCAAATGCAACTGCACCAGCAACAAACCAGATCCAGTGAGCGGCGTTCTACCGGGATCAGTGTCGTTGGTCTCCGCTGAGTTCCCCAGTATTATCTGCAGCAGCTGCTGCGGCTGCTTGAGCTGCTGCAGCAAGACCTGACCTGCAGCAACTGCAGCTGCAGCTGCGCTAGCAAGCCTAGCATAGCCTTACCTGGAGTAGCAGCGGTTGCAGCTGCTGCAGCAGCAGCTTGAACACCTGGGCGGCGCCGCTGTCGCTTGAGTCCTCAATCGATACGCGGCTCGGTGAACGGTAGCAGCAACAGCAACAGCGACAGCACCAGCAGCAGAGACGGAAGCAACAGCAGACTTCGACAGTTGCAATCGCTGCTGCTGCCCCTGCCCTTTCGCGAGCTAGTGAATTTCGTGTGGCAGGGGGATGCGCAGCTGCAGCAGCAGCAGTAGCAGCTCGGACGATGGAGACTCCCCCAGCAACGACAAAAGGGACGCCAACAGCAGCATTATCCACAGCAATCGCATCAGCAGCAACAGCAGCAGCAACAGCAGCAGACAGTGAGCAGTAAGAGGCCACTTACATAAACGAGCGGGGCGGCTGCTGCAGCAGCAGGGGCCGGCGCCGATGCGTAGGCCCCTTATTTCACGAGTATGTTCGTTGCTGCCGCTGCTGCTGCTGCTGCTGCTGCNGCTGCTGCTGCTGCTGCTGCTGCAGTGCAGCAAGCTGGCCTCTACGTCCGTGCAGCCTCGAGGCAATTTTCTCTTGGGCAGGCGTTGTAGGCTCCAGCAGCTCGCCGCAGCATTCCACAGCACTGGGAGCAGCACAGCAGCAGCAGAAGCAGCAACAACAGCAACAGCAACAGCACACACGAATCTACCTATGCGTCTCTTAGCCTCAGGACCCCTCAGATCAATAGCTGCTGCTGCCTTCCCCACCAGGCAGCTGTGGCTAACTGCAGCGCACTACCAGCCGCAGCAGTTGCAGCAGCAGCAGCACCTGCACCAGCAGCAGCAGCAACTGAACCAGCGGCAGCAGCAGCGGGGAGTGCACCATAAGACAGCAGCAGCTGCGGCGCCTTCTGTAGCCCACCGCTTGCGCGCGGCTGCTAAGATCTCTTGCTTGGGGTGGCAGCAACCAAAGCTGCTGCTGAGCAGCAGCAGCGACAGCAGCATTTCGAGGTGGAGCCGAAGCAGCAATGGCCACGTTTCCGCACGTCGGGCTCTGCGAGCAGCAGCAGAGGGAAGCTCGTCGAGCCAAGACCCAGCAGCAGCAAGAGCCACAACGACAGCGACAGCAGCAGCAACAGCAGCAGCTGCTGCTGCTGCTCACGCATCGCTGTGCAGCAGAATTACCGAGCTGAGCAGAGCCTACTACTCGGGGGAGGAGCCGCTGGCCTCTGATGAGGAGTTCGACGCTTTATGGCTTCAACTGCAGAGGCTGGAACAGGTTAGCAGCAGCAGCAGCAGCAGCAGCAGCAGCGGCAGCCACTGCAGCAGGAGGAGCAGCAGCAATTAGGGGCAGCAGCTGCAGCCGCTACAGCCACATGAAATCTGCTGTTGTTGCTGCTGCTTGTCGAACGCGCGCGCAGCAGCAGCGGCAGCGGCACGGCATAAAGAAGCCTGTAGCAGCAGGGCTGCTGTCCCTGCAGCAGCAGTAGCAACGGATGCTGCTGCTGCTGCAGCTGCAGCAACTGAGTCTCCTTATTGTTGGTTTGCTCTGATTGCTTGCTGCTGCTTCTGTGTCTCTGCTGCAGAAGCATCCGCGGCTCCGCCGCCCAGACAGTCCGCTGCAGCGCGTCGGCCCGGGTCCTCCAGCAGCAGCAGCAGCAGCAGGCACAGCAGCAGCAGCAGCAGCAGACTGTGAACACATCTCGCCAGTGCTTTCATTGGAAAGTGTCCATTCCCCCACAGAGGCCAACAGTCTCTTCCGCAGACTCGATAGGTACCTAATTGACACGGGTTTAGTGTTTAGGGTTTAGGGTTTAGGGTTTAGGGTTTAGGGTTTAGGTTTATTCGTATTGCGGTGCCCCCCATGGGCCTACGGACAACTGACGGTAATCTCATCAGGCCTTCTTCACTTGCTGCTTTGTTGCTGCTGTTGCTGATGCTGTTGCTGCTGCTGTTGCTGCTGCTGCTGCTGCTGCTGCTGCTTTAGGTTTGTTAAAAAGGCGCAGCAGGCTGGGACCAGGACCTCTCGGGGCCGACGGCGTAGGCGAGGAGACAATTCAGAGGCCGATGCAGCAGCAGGTGCAGCTGCAACAGCTGCTATTGCGCCGGAGCCTCCAGCAGCAGCTGCAGCAGCTGCAGCAGCTGCTGCTGGAGGCGCCGGCGAAACAGAACGCGCAGCAGCACCTGCAGAAGGTGCAGCAGGGGCGGATGTGTTTGCTGCGGCTCTGCTGGTGGAGCCTAAAATCGATGGCCAGAGCGTCTCTCTGACCTACGAACTTATCACCAGCAGCAGCAGCAACGACAGCAGTGGCAACAGCGACAGCAGCAACAGCAGCAGCTGCAGCCACAGCCCTAGCAGCAGTGACAGCACCAACAGCAGCAGCAAATGCAGCAGCAGCAAATATGTGGCTCGGTACCGGCTGGTGCGGGCCTTAACGCGAGGGGACGGGCGGCGGGGTGAAGATATCACAGCGAAGGCGCTGCAGATGGGGAGGAGGGGGGCCCTGCCTCTGGTGATAGAAGTCTCGTCGTCATCAGCAGAAGCAACAGAGAAAGCAGCAGCAGGAGCAGCAGAGACAGCAAAAGCAACAGCAGCAGGTGCAGCAGCAGCAGCAGCAGGGTCGCAGGCGGAGTGTCTGCCGCAGCAGCTGGAGGTGAGGGGGGAGGCGTTTGTGAGTTTGGCATCTCTCCAGAAATTAAACAGAGACAGAAATGCGAAGGGATTGAAGCCATTTGCTTCCTCCAGGTGTACATACACCCCATATGATGCTGTCGAGCCACAGCAGACACAGACAGAGAATATACCGAAACAGACAAACAGCAGCAGCTATACATACTTGGAGATACGAAGCAGAAAGAGACAAACAGCAGCAGCACTGCAGCTATAGACAGAGACGAACAGAATAGATACAGAAAGAGACAAACAGCACCAGTGCAACGAAGGAGGCACTGTGGCGTCAATACAGCCACACAGTTACAATGCAAGTAAATGTAAAATATGATGAAAATGTCTAATAGATGTTTGTTCTGCTTCTGTTGCTGTTGCTGTTGCTGTTGCTGCTGCAGACATGCTGTGGTCGGACTACTGCGCCGTCTGGAGGCAGCGGGGGAGGAGGGGGGAGACGCCGTCCGCTTTTGTGCCTACGGGCTGGTGGGGTCCCCTGGCGGTGGGGTGACTGTACACCCCACGGCCTGTAAGGTGGCGAGCGAGAGCAGCAGCGCACCAGGAGGTGCTTCTGCTGCTTCAACAGAGGCAGCAGCTGCTGCTGCAGTAGGCGCTGCTGCTGCTGGGGTGTCTACGCAGCTGGAGCTGCTGCAGCGGCTGCAGCAGTGGGGCTTTGACGTCCCTCTGCGGCACTCCGTTGTGGTGTACAGACACAAGGAGGCTCTCGGGGCATTTGAAGAGCAAAGTAAAGCGCACGAGCAGTATATCTCGCGCCTGCAACACGTCTTTAGAGGCGACGATGCTGCTGATGCTGCTGCTGCTGCTGCTTCTGGTGCGGCAGCTTGCCCTGCTGCATCTGCTACTTCGGACCATTCTGGAGCCTCAGGTATCGCAGCGTCTCCTGGCGGGAGCGACGCTGCTGCAGCAGCAGCAGCACTTACTGATCCTGCTGCTGCCGAGGGGCCGAGGGCTGTCAGGGTTCCTGTGCCTCTTGAGGAGATCCCTTGCGACGGCGTTGTCTTTAAGGTGAATCTGCTGATGCTGCAGCAGCAGCTTGGCAGCACAGCGCGTGCACCTCGATGGGCCTTCGCTTTGAAGTTTGCTGCAGCAGAAGCAACGACATCAGTTGTGGGTGTGGAGTGGACAGTTGGGTCTTCAGGTGTATGTACACCCGTGGCTCTGCTGCAGCCGGTGCTGCTGGGAGGCGTCTCCCTCTCTCGGGCTTCATTGCATTCTGCCCAGGAGCTGCGACGGAAGGATATCCGCGTTGGTGATCGGGTGCACGTACACCTCAGAGGGGAGTCGGTACCTCATATTGCAGCAATCGATAGACAAGCGAGGAAGAAAGAGGCTGCTCCTCTCCCTCTCCCCTCTCGATGCCCATCTTGCGGCAGAACCCTCATAGAACGACCAATGCCTGCAGACAAAACTCGCACTACAAGGCATCGGCAAAGAGCAGCTAAAGATGCAGCTGCGACTGCGACTGCTGCTGCTGCTGCAGGCGGTGGTGTCGCTGGTAGTGCTGCTGCTGCTGCTGCTGCAGGTCGGGAGGGGGCTGATCCAGAGAGGGAGGAGGTTCAGGGAGTTTTGTGGTGCCCTGGGGGTTGGGCTTGTGGCTCTCAGCGGCTGCAGCGGTTGCTGCGTTTCTTCTCTCGTGAGGGGGTTGGCGTGTCTGGGCTGGGGCCCCGTGTGTTAGGTTCGCTGATAGCTGGAGGGTACGTGGGGGCCCCCAGCGATGCGTTTTACTTAGCTGAGGTGGATAGGCAGCGCGTAGCAGCGGGAGAGAGGGGCCTCGCAGATTGGCCAGGGTGGGGCCCCCAGGCTAGGGACGCCCTCTTCAAAGAAATCGAACACAGGAGACATAAAGGCGTCCTGCTGCAGCAGCTCCTCTTCGCTTTAGGCGTCCCAGGCATGGGCAGAAAGGCAGCAGCAGCGGTGGCGCAGAGGGCCCAAACCCTAGGCGGGTTCATCGCACTGCTCGACTGCTTGGGGGCCCCCCAGCAAACAGCACATCAGACACAGGGGGGCCACCCAAACCCCCAACAGGAGCAAGGAGACAACCAGAAACGGCAGTTAGCACAGACAGCAGAGCAAAACCTTCAAGCCAGCACAACACGCGCAAGCATCAAAGGCGATCCACTGACACAGCAACTCACATACCCGCCACAGACCCTTACATCCAGCTTTCAGGGGCCGCAAGGCCCTCCAGAGGGACTCGGGGGATCCCAGGCGGGCCCCGGGGAACCCCCGGAGGGCCTCGGGCCCCCCTTTGGCTTAGGAGTAGATTGGGTTGGTGATATCGAGCCGGCGTTGCTGGAGGAGCTACGGCTGTTTGCACGGGATGGGAGGAACAGACAGCAACTGCTGCAGGTGGCAAGAGCAGTGCCTGTACACCCAGTTGCTACAGGAGGGGGGGTTGTTTCTAACGTAGACTTTCCGTGAGGGAGGTGTACGTACACCCCAACTCCTTTTTTTTCATTTCACTGCTAATAGACCTCTGTGATGTGTACAGACAGCGGAGAAAACACCGGAGGGGGGTTTTACAGCTGGCCTGCACAAATACTGTCATCGAGTTAGTAGCTAGCTAGCCAAAACGGTGGAGGCAAGGCAGTGGCTAGCTGGCCAAAGCGTAAGCAGAAATGCAGTGGCTAGCTAGCCAGATCGAGGGGAAAAAGGCAGTGACTAGCTAGCCAGAGCAGGGGAAGAAAGCCAGTGGGTAGCTAGCCAAGGCAAATGGGGTAGTGGCTAGCTAACCAAGGCGAGGCTATATGCCCAGTTGCTCGCTAGCGAAGGCGCCGTGACTACACAGTAAAGGCAATGCTATAGGCCCAGTGAGTAGCTAGAGAAGGCGAGGCTATAGGGCCAGTGGCTAGCTGGCCAATGCGAGACAGTGGCTAGCTAGCCAAAGCAAGGCCCAAAAGTGAGTGGATAGCTAGCCAAAGCGATGCTATAAGACCAGTGTGTAGACAGCCAAGACAAATGATGCGCGGTAGTGGCTAGCTAGTCGCTAGGTGAGGGCTGGTAAACAGTTGGCGAGCTGCAGTCGCAGGGGACTGAGGCGCTTGTTGCGCAGGGCTGATGCTGCTGCTGCTGCCGCCGCCGCTGCTGGAGCTCGTCCGCAGCGGCAGCAGCATATGCATGCATGCACGCATGCGGCTCCCCCTTTTGCCATTGAAGCCCCCGACAGTTCGCAAGTTGCTCCGTCTCTGCCGAAAACCGGCGAAGTTTATTCACATATAAACAAGGAGCGTCTATGTTTACTTTTGTAACTTCCTAGCTGTATGTCTCATCACTTTCTAGCTCTTTTTAATTGTGTATCATCTATTTTTATTTCCTTTTAATTGTCTATCTTATTCCTCCTCTCTCCTCCTTGTCCGTCTCATTTCTTTTTGTATCTTCTTAACTGTCTCATCACTTCTGCCACGTCTCATCTCCTACATATATATATATATATATATATATATATATATATATATATATATATATATATATATATATATATACATATATATATACATATATATATGATATATTAAGGAGAGATAAAGGAAATATTAAGAAGAGGCGTTAAATGTATATATTAAGAAGAGATGCTAAGCAAAGTTTAGACAATAAAGGGCTATGCTAAGGAGACACATATAAGAGATATTCAGGGGAGAATAAGGAGAGAAAAAAATACTGGGGAGATATATTAAGAAGATATATTAAGGAGAGATATTATGAAGAGGTGCCGAGGAAAGATATTAAGAAGAGGTGCTAAGCAGCAGAGAGCAGAGGAGATGTTCAGGAGATACGATGTCTAGGGCATTGACGATGCTGTGATAGAACATTGAAAACGGCATAACAATACGTGAAAGAACCACTTGAAAGGGAGTAGAAATATATGAGATGAGCTGAGCACTTAGGAAGAGATAAAAAGAGGTGAGACTGACAACGATAATGATGTGGTTATACTGTCTGCAAACAGCAGGCGTCGCGTCTCAGCTCTGTATGTACACCTGGGCTGGCGGATGTCGCTAATGCAGCAGCAGCATCTGCTGCTGTGAATGCACCAGCAGCAGCTGCTTTTATGAATGCAGCAGTATCAGCAGTATCAGCAGCATCAGCAGCTCTTAACGCAGCAGTAGCAGTTGCTGCATTAGCAGATGTTGCTATTTTAAAAACAGTTGCTGCCCCCCCAACGACCCTAAGACTGCTCCGCAATAGCTATAAAGGAGAGAAGTTTGGTAATGGATTACAAATGGAGGAACAGACAGAAGTGAATGTACGAAGGAAGAAGAGCGAGCATCGAACATGCGCCCTCGGCAGCAGTTTTCGGGTGTTTAGACAGCTCAGGGTGTTCAACAACACTAATAAATTACAAATTCAACCAAAATTAAGTGGAAACAACTACTCCACGATACTTAAATTCTTATATTTTGGTCCTTTCGCTCGCTGGGGCCGCAGCAGCTGCCAGCCAACATGCAGTCGCTGCTGCCGCTGCTTCGTGGTCTTGGGGTGTACATGCAGCTCGATGCAGCTGTTTTTAGTATTTCTGGTGTTCGCATGCATTACAAAGAAAGTCAGAAAATCTGCATCTCCTGTTGCTTGCCTTGGGGTTGAAAGTGAGAAGAGGGGAGCGCAGCTGCCGCTGGGGCCCGAGGGGATGTATGTCTCTGCTGTACATTCTTTGTTCTTTCTTCCGCTTTAATTCATTTAAATATAACTCGTAAATAAACTTTTCTGCTCCTCTTCGCCCGTTCAGGACTTGGGGGAAAGGGAGAAGAAGAGGCGCGCCCGGGTAGTGCGGCTGCTGCGGCTGCTGCTGCTGTTCTTGCTCTAGACCTGCTCTTGCTGCTACTGTCGCTGCTGCTAGCTGCTGCTACCGCTGCTGCACACGCAGCCCTTATAATGCGCCTGCCTTGCATGCTTCAGGGCCTCCTCCGAGGCCCCTCTTTGTGCCGAGGGGTCCTCACCTCGTGTCCTTAACCCAGCACAGCAGCAAACAGCTGCGGCTGTACCACCGGAACAGCAGCAGCAGGATCAGCAGCAGCTGCAGCAGCTGCAGCAGCAGCAGCAGCTGCTGCTGCTGCCTCACTTGCAGGGCCTCCCCACAACCATCTTCCGCGCTCCGCGTCCCCTGCGCACCTCCAGCAACCGCTCGCTGCCTTTTCCTTCACCGTGAGGGGCAAAACCAACAGTAGCAGCAACGGTAACAACAACGACAACAGCAAGAGCTGTGGAGCAAGCAGCAGCGGCAGGGTAGACGGCGGACGTAGAAGAAGCTCGGGCCAGCGACCCTCTTGACACCATCACCAACACCAACAGCAGCAGCAGCAGCACCACCACCACCAGACGTTCGAGCCGCAGCATCTGTCGCAGCAACAGCAGACTTTGCAGCGGCATCTAATAGAGACTGCAGCAGGAGTTATCTCAGCAGCAGGGAGTACAGCCCAGCCACAGTTGCAGTTGCAACAATTATCCGTGACAGCAGCAACACCAGCAGCAGCAGCAGCTGCTGCGATAGTAGCATTAGGAACAGTAGCCACAGGAGCAGCAACAAGGACGGAGGCATCTACAGAAACAGCAGCAGCAGCACCTGCCACAGCAGCAGCAGGAGCAGCGGCATCACCAGAAGCAGCAGCAGGAGCAGCAGCATTAGCAGGAGCAGCAGCAGTTGAGTTTCGCGATCTGTACGCTGCACCTTCAGCAACCAATATACAGTAGGTCTCTGCAGGGGGACGAACGTTTGGGGGCGCTAGGGTTTAGGGTTTAGGGCTTAGGGTTTGTGTCTGTGCCAGCCATTCAACGCAGCAGCAACAAACTAGACCGCAGCAACAGAACAAACAAAAGCAACGAACAGAGGAGCAGGGAAGAAACAAACAGCAGCAACAAGCAAATTAGCAGCAACGCAACAAGCAGCAGAAAAAAAACGAAGGGTAGAGGGAGAGGGGGAAAGATAAAGAGCTGCTGCGGCGGCACGCAGCAGAAAACGGGGTGTACGTACACTCGAATTTGTTGATGCACTTGTTTGTTTTGTTCTTCCTGCTGCAGAAGAAGAGACGGCGGAGCGACGAGTATTGGCGTCGTCGCTGCCGGCGTCGTTGCTGCCGCTGCCACGGTTGCTACTGCTGCTGCTGCTGCTGCTGCTGCATGCGGACCCTGGAGACGTCAGCAGCCGATCTGGGCGCTGCTACTCGAATCTCCTCCTCGCGCTTCCCCGGCTGCTTCCGAATGCTGAAGATGAAGTGCGTTATTGCTGTTGCTGCTGCTGTTGCTGCTGCTGCTGCTGCTGTCGCCGCTGCTGTTGTCGCCACTTCTCCTGTTGCTGCTGCTGCCACTGTACGCGGGCCTTGTGCAGGCAGCTGTCAGTACTTCGCTCAGATTTAGTGGGTCCGCTCCCCCGCGCTAGTGCGGCTCTTCATTCCCTTACTTCTGCTGCTGCTACTGCTGCTGTTGCTGATGCTGCTGCTGTTGCTGCTTTTGCTGCTGTTGGCTCTGCAGGCTATTCCAGTCGATGCGCCGCCGCATATCTTCGCGGGACGGATTTTCGCGCAGCAGTTCGCAGCAGTCTGACAAGCAGCAGCAGCAGCAGCAACAACAGCAACAGCAGCAGCAGCAGCATGAACAGCAGGAGCAGCAGCAGGCATCTGATCCGGCGCAGCATCAGGATGCGGCAACAGGGGCAACAGCAACACCGGGTGCTGCTGCAGCAGCAACAGATAAGGCTTCTACATCAAGCGCTACATTCAGCTCCGGCGGGAGGAGCTGTACGCGAGAGCGCCTCCTTCAGGCCGACAGCCTAAAGACCCAAGACAGGCATGTCGTTTGCTGCCTCGTTTCTGTCTCTGTGTCTGTCGCTGGGTTTTGTTCGTATATCTATCGTAATCTCTGTCTCCTTCTGTCTATGTTTATATATCTATCTCTAGCTGTGTCTTGGTACTATCTCTGCCCCTGTTTCTCTCAGGTTTTTCTTTGCTTTCGTCTGTCTCTTTCAGTAGCTGATCTCTTCTGCTGTCTCCGTCTCTGTCTCTATCACTGTTTCGAGCTCTTACTGTCTGTGTCTCCGCCTGTATCTGCGTCTTACATTTGTCTGTGGCTCTTTCTTGTCTCTGTCTCAGTGTCTTCCTCTCTCTGTCTCTGGTCCTCTTGTCTTTGTCTCCCTCTGCTTCTGTCTCTTTATCTCTGCCTCTCGTGGATCTGCCTCGCCCATTCTTTTTTTCTCGTGCTGTCGCTCCTCGCTCTCTCCCTGTCTCTCCCTCTGTCTATATATACATATATGCATGTATATATATATATATATATATATATATATATATATATATATATTTCCTTTTTTTTGCTGTTCGTGCATCTCACACTCTTCTCTCTCTTTCTGTCTTGGAATGTATGTACAGCTGTACACCCGACCGCCGCAACTCTTCTACTCGCGCGCTGCTGCTGGGGCGGCCCCCACAGGCCCGGGCCCCCTGTCCTTTCCCTTCGGATTTGTTGCCGCTTATGGAGGCCCCAGTAGCCGACAGGCCAGAGCTGTTCAGAAAGAAGTTGGCGGTAAGAGGACGACGACGAATATATCTGCTTATTGGTGGATCACCTCTCCTTTTTCTTTGCCTTCTTTCTCTTCTTTTTCTGTCTTCACCTGCTATCTCCTTCTGTTTGTGTTGTGTGTTCACCTGTCCTGTTGGATGCTTTTGTGTTGAGCAGTGTGCATGCATATGCATTGTATTTTGCATGCATTTGCGGTGTATAATTTGCATGAATTTGTGGTGTATTTTGCATGCACTTGTGTTGCTTTTTGCATGCGTTGCTGCTGCAGGCCTGCTGCATTGTCTACGACTTTGACTCGCCGGACTTCGCGCGGGACAAAGACCTAAAGAAGCGGGCACTTGTTGAGATCGTCGAGTCCGCAGCTAACTGCTGCTGCTGCTGCTGCCGTTGCGACTGCTGCTGCCGCTGCTGTCTTTGCTGCTGCTACTGCTGACGCTCACGATGTGCTGCGTTTTCTCTGGTGTTCTTCCGTTGCTTCTGCAACCTTTACCGCTGCTGTTGCTGCTGCTCTGCTTCGTGTAGACGGGCCTGTGGTTGTTAGTTTTGGTTTTCCTATGGTTGTCAGCCGGGATCTGTGCTGGGACATCGTTGCCTTTGTTATCTTTTCTGTCTGCTGCTGCATTGCTGCTGCTGTTGCTGCTGGTGCTGGTTGCTCCGAGGAGTGTCATGGGTCTCTCGCAGACCGCGTAGGAGGGTTGTGGCAGATACTGGAGTTGATGCTTGTCTCTGCTCTCCCGTGCTTCTGCTGCATCTGCTGCTGCTCCCGCTGCTGCTGCTCCTGCTGGCATTTCTTGTTACTGTTGCTGCTGCTGCTGCTGTGTGTGTTTCTGTTGCAGGTATGTGAACAGCACACGTCACTGTTTCTCCGAGCAGGTGCTGCAGGACGTGATGGACATGGTGTCAGCTAATATTTTTCGTCCGCTGCCTCCATCACAACACCGGGGTTCTGTGTTATTAGAAGCAGAAGAAGAGGAACCGCAGCTTGACAGCGCGTGGCCGCATATACAAATTGTTTATGAATTCTTTCTTCGGTTTATCGTCTCGAATGACGTCAGCGCCAAACTTGCAAAGAAGTTCATTGACCATCAGTTCGTACTCAAGGTGCGCATACACCCTAGATATGCGCATGCATCGCGCATATGCACACATACACCCAACGTATACACATGCATACACCCCGCACTTACATACGTACACCCCACACATACATATACATACACCCCACATTACACACCCCCCAAATATATGCCTGCAGACACCCCACATATATGCGTGCATACACCGTGCATATACGTACACATACACCCCACATATACACTTATATCCACCCCACACATACGCATGCCTACGTTTTTCATCGCTTTTGCTTTTCTGGTCCCCGGGTTTTCTTGTTTTCTTTTTATTGAGTTGCTTTTCTGGCTTGCATTTTGTCAGCAGCGCTGTAATACGCTGAGGTGAACAGAAGACTGCAGCTGGCCGTTTCATATGCATATGCTTGTTGCTGCAGCTGCAGTCTGCTGCTGCAACTGCAGTTTGCTGGTGCCGCTGCATTTTGCTTCTCTTGCTTGTGTTTGTATATCTGTTCAGTTCCTAGAGCTGTTCAGCTCAGAAGACCCTCGAGAAAGAGATTACCTAAAGACAATCCTCCACAGAATATACGGAAAAATAATGGCGCTGCGGTTCGTCTCTGCTGTTGCGGTGTCACGACACCGCGAGAGCTTGCACCTGCCTCTGCTGCAGCGTATCTCCCGCTTTCTCTCTGCTCTTCCTTTACCTCCTGTTACGTATACAATATATATATATATATATATATATATATATATATATATATTTGTGT